ATTGAATTCTTTATAATTTTCAAAATTATATATAAAAAATCAATTATTTTTTAGAATATAAAATCAGGGTTTTAAGAAATAGATTTAATATTATTTAATTCTGAAATTATATTTTCGAAATTAGATATTCGAATTTGTATATCTATTCTTTCCTTTTTTGATTTAAAATAATAAATCTCTCAAATTTTTTATAATCTAATTGAAATTTTTTTTTAATTAATATTAATTAAATCTTGAATAATTTGTTATTATATAAATTCTTTTATATCTATATTTAAAACTATATTAATTTTAATTAAAAATATAAAAAGATTAGTTTATAAAAATATATTTTTGAATATAGAAAATTGTATATTTTGGAAAGCAAATAAAATATTAAGTAAATGTTAATATACAAAAAAAATTCAATTATAATAAAAAGGAGTATTTATTAAATAAAAAGTTTTTAATATATTATTTTAATAAAAGATTAATATTTAGATTTAATATAATAAATATCAAAAAAGGGGAATTCTAGTATTATAATATTTTTTAGTAAATATTATAATAAATATAAAAAAACAGGATATAATATAAGAACTTATCAAAATAATATAATAGATTTTAGATTATTAGATTTTTGATAGCTTTAATTAATTGATTTAATTATTATTGAATAATATGGGTTTGAAAATGTAAATTGAGATGAAAGTAGTTCACTTGATGATATAGTTCACTCGATGATAAATCACGTTAATCAAAAGCTTTTAGATTCTCAAGAAAATAAATATTCCCTTTAATTTCTAATTAATCAAAAAAATTCGATTATTTATAAGTTACAATATTATCATAAAAAGAATCAAGATATTATTTAGAATTCTAATTAAAAACATTTTATCAATGAAGAGATTCTGAATATTGAGATAACTCATAAGGGTAGGAGAGATGAAGAGAGGGGTGAGAAGGGCACGTGGTGATAAGCATAGCCGATAAGAGGGAAGGCTGAATAATTCACATTTGGCAAGCTCGACACAAATGTGAGTCCCTTCCCTTCGCGTCTCAAAGATTTTGCTAGCCATATTCGTAATACTATACAACTCAACGCCAGGAGTAATTATTTCACACTTGAGAACACAGATGCGGCCATGTACTCCTGCGGATCTGGTTGCCTCAACCTAGAAATTCCAGCAACAACCTGAGAAGTATTATTTTGATACAATCATTTCATTGCAGCAATGTCAGCCACATCTATCACAGCTTCGAATACACTATCGAGAAGTAGGAGTGCGATACTTGCCCTCACCAGCTGTGCTGCTGCATATGGAATATACTATTTCTATAGCACAAATGCCGCTGGTTCACAAGACAACACTGGAAGCAGTGGACTACGTAGAAGTAATGCGGTCTACCGGCGCCGACGCACGGAAACAGGCGACGAAGCTATACCTGCTCAATTACAACCAATTCCACCAGGCGAAGACGAAGACGCAAACATTGTAGCTAGACCTTTGACAGATGGGGATACAGTGGTGGACGACAGCCAGGAATTTGAGGGTGCCTTGACAGGACGAGCACCAACTGCAGATGCTGAACGAAACGGTCAAAATATTGTTCAGCTCCTCTTTCGTGTTTCCGAAGATGCTACAAGGAGGAATGCATACGTACATAGAGGATGTGGCTGTAACGGTTGTTCAGTAGTTCCCATTCGTGGAATTCGATATAGATGTGCAAACTGTGCAGACTTTGATCTATGTGAATCATGCGAAGCACAGGGACTACATACTAAGACGCATATATTCTATAAAGTTAGAGTACCAGCTCCTTCTTTTGGACCAAGGCAGATACAACCTGTGTGGTATACTGGAGATCCCGAGAATCAAGACAGGATGATCACATTGCCAAAGGAGTTGATTGCGAAATATTCTCACGAGACGGGATTTGAAAGGCCGGAATTGGATGCATACTTTGAGCAATGGAACTTCATGGCAAACACACCTTGGCCAGAAGATCCAGATGATATTCACCTAGCTATGGACAGAAGAACATTTGAGCGGTGTTTGGTGCCCAGTGGCGGTTATAGAAACAATGCCCCAAGCCTTATATTCGACAGGATGTTCGCCTTCTACGATACCAACAGAGATGATCTCATCTCATTTTCAGAATTCCTCAGAGGTCAAGCATATCGCAAACAAAAGGATAAATGGCGTGTGATCTTTGCGGGATATGATATTGACGATGATGGTTACGTTGACAGGAAAGATTTCCTACGAATCTTTCGCTCTTATTACGTCTTATATCGTCAAATGCATAAGGATATGGTAGAGGGTCTCGACGAGCAGCATATGATGAGCTCGGAGGCACATGCTCATCTTAATGGCCGTGGCGCTCTGGGAAGATTAATTGGTCAAAGTTCAGGTGCAGGTTTAGGGCCATTTCCAACTTTAGAATCGCGGGCCGGCGAGGGAAAAACTATGCGTGACGATGGAGAGATGGAGATTTGGGATGGAAGGGGTGTGATGAGGCCAAGCGCTAACGATACTGGAAATCGAGATGACACTCTTGTTAGTTTTAGTCGGATTTCAACTGCTGCGATACGTCCCGTTGAAAGGACACGAGGCTACTGGCGATTCCTGATGGAGGACCCTTCTACAGAGAGCGAAGATGCTGTACTCGAAAGAATTTCTGAGGAAATTCTACGAGAAACACTTGAAGAAAATGATCCCCAGTGGGTTCCAGGTGACCCTGTTTTGCTTGACGCATCTAACGTCTCCGAAAATCCCTTTTTAACTCCTGCGGAGCACGCCACTGTAGATTTTGAACGTCGTCGACGTGATTTGAACATAACTGATGAAGATGTTCAATCGGTTTGTGGACCAGAATACTCATTGTCAAATATTCCGGAAAGTGCTCGCCCTTTCATCATAAAGCATGCTATCAAGAGACAGAAATCCCGATATATATTGCACGAGAGATGGAAGCGAAGACAATTTTACACTGACGAAGAAGAAGGAGCATCACCGCCTGCTGATTGGAACATCGAGGAAGACCTTCCTACAGTTGGCGCTGATGGAGAAACCTCCAAGTCTCAATTTAATCAACGACCGACTATTCATTCTCGCTCATCCTCTAAGGTAAGATTTGCGGAGGACATTGACGACTTTGATACCCGCTCAAATCCTTCGACATCTTCGCGGAGCGTCCCTGAACGTTGGGGTGGAATAGAAATACCTGATGCAGAAAAAGACGTGGGAAAGGAGATCTTGTACCAAGTCTCGCAACAAGCCTATAACGAAATACTCGATCCATTATTCCTGGCTAAAGAAGATTTGGCGGTGGCCGTCTTAGAGACAAAGAAAGAACGCGACAAATATCGACATCTTTTCACCACTGTTGACTTTGTGAGGTGGGCTACGGCTAAGAAAGTCGAAGAAGATAAGGTAGTTGCTAGCGAGACCGTTCGCTCGGGCGATGGTGCTGTTGGGGGAACAAACAACAATCCACGGCCTGTATGGCCTACTATTCCTGAGGTGGAAGTCGAGGATATACGCTTAAGACAGCTAGATGAACTCCTGGAAGCTACGGGTTACGAAGTGGAGGAGTCTAGTGATGCCAATGACACAACCAATGAAATAGTCGTTCCTGACTTGGAGCTATCGGGTCTTTCACATTGTGAATTTGACCTCGATATGGCAGTGCTCGAATTCCAACATGCTCCTTATTACAAGGACGATCCTCTGCGGGCATGGAAATATTATGTTGATAAACACAACCTCAATCTTTACCAACAACGTGATTTCTTTTATGCTTTGCAGCCTCTCTTACCACCAACTCTTTTGTTCTATATCGACGTACACCTCAAAGAGAAAGAAGAAGAGCGTGATGAGGTTTCCAGTTTTACTAGCACTCAATCGTCGGAGCATAGAGATCCTACACTCCCTCAATTTCGACCAAATTCTGTTACAGATGATGTGTTTTCTGGCAGATCTGTTGGAGAACATCAGTCAATCTCAGAAATTTCAGATTCTGAACCTCCAGCTGCAGATTCTTACAACCCCAAGAAACAGCGTTTCCAGAAGGAAGATAAGAGGCCCAGTGATGAGGCATTATACGAGTTGTGGAAGATTGAAAATGTGGAGCAGGAGGGTAAGGAGAGAGGCGGATTGGGAAAGATAAGCTTCGAGGAGTTTGAACAGTGTGTTAAAAAGGAGGCGGCTAATGGGAAGGGTAATGCGATGGACTATTTGGGAAGCTGGATTGAGTTCTGCATCCCTTAAGTCCTTCGTTGTAATCCTAGCCCTAACCTTTCTTTTACAGAATACTTCGTCATTACGGGTGGCTAATAGTAAAGAGAACGGACAAAGATTGGGAGGCAGTCATTGATGATGGAGATGATTCGATTGATGATGGAGATGATTCGATTGAGGATGGAGATGATTCGATTGAGGATGACGATTCGATTGAAGATGGCGATTCGACCGAGGCAGTCATTGATGATGAAGATGACTCGACTGAGGAAGACGATTTGCTTGAGGGAGTCGGTGATGACATCGATGTTGACAATGACAATGTCGATGCAAGTTAACTTCAAGTAGGTATTATTGAGAATTCGGTGGATTGGGGGAGAGCAATAGATTCTCTCCAGCGAATACGAATCAGACAGTACAAATGGAAACTCGATCGAGAGATTGATTGTCATTTTGACATTGATATGACAGAACAGGCAGATGATGGTACCGTATTTTCATAGAGAGACGAGGGCAATGAAGTGGATGGATTTATGTATGAATATGCCAACGTTATGATAGCGAGCAAAAGAACATTGATACATTTTGAATTGTCTTATTTGTACTCGACGCGTGCATGAGATTCTGTGTGGATAAAGCTTCCCCGGTGCATGGGATGCTTTGTGTGTTGGTACCAAAATTACGTCCTTGAGGTCCCGCCACTTATAAGCTATAAACTAGCTATTTCAAAAAAGCTTCATCTTCATACGTGCTAAAGATAGGGCTGCTGTTGAAAATTTAAATGTGTAATGACTCCTCGATTCTCTTGGAGATCTCTATAATCTTCTCCTTTCCCAACCCCAAGTCCAACCTCGCCGTCACGATACTCCTCTCGTCCTCCTTATATACGCCATTTCCATCTCCATTCCTACGGCCATCCCCATCAATAACGAAATTTCCTCCAATTTCCGTGGAAAATGCCTCTCTTATGTCACTATCCCCTTCCATGCTCGCCACTTGACTTGCCAATAAGCTCAATAATTTTTTCCTTCGAACTTCGTCATCTGGCCAGGAACCTGCAGGGAGAACATAACAGAACCATCTTTTCCTACTCGCAATATCAATTTTACAACTAATGAAAATCACACATTCAGAGCCCTTGACACCCAGCGCTAATAACCCATTCCAACCGTCTATGGTAGGATGGTCGAGTCTAAATACACTCCTACTTTCGTCAAATAGCTCAGGTGGATATGTTTCCGATTGAGATGGGCTCATGATTTTTTTTGGTCTGGTGGCAATTGTTGTATCGTTGTTAATTTGAACTGGAATCGGTACGGATGTTCCACTCGACAGACCTTCCCCCAAAGTTACCAACAAGCAGCGTGGTTCAGTAAACCGCTGAAGTGGAGAAGTTTGATGAAACATGGGCATCATTCTCGATTTTATAAACATATTTACTTCTGTCGAGGCCCAATCGGTGGGCATATATAACGGATTAGGAGGGTACGATATACGTCTGTAAGTCCCTAGGAAATCTGAATTGATGGGCGGAGAATGCTTCGCACGGGAATACATGCCCGCTATTGTGTTGCACGACGCGGATGATTTACCTTTAATACAACAAAATTTTAAGACCAGGCTTGAATCACAGGTAAAGAGATAGAAAGGCCAGCATTGGTCATAGAATATGGAGATGCTTGACCAAAAGCAGTTGCGGGAATGAAATCACGGGATCCTTGGAATGTGTCTGGTGATGGCGCGATGAGATTCGTCCAAGCTGGTGGCACAGTGGCTGTCCAGGTCCAGCAGAAGATCGTGTAGTCGACAGATACCTCGATGATTTCTTCTTGGAGTCGTACAAAGGCTTTCGTACCCTCTCCGTAAAGGAGAGGCATATTGATATCGAAAACTTCTAGCATCCAATATGCCATATCTTCTACTCTCGTCGTCCTACGTCGCGATACCCAAAACATCCTCAGCGCGACACTGGTAGCTGTGATAGGACTCTAGCCCAGAAGATACGGAGCACTAATACCCGTTATGTGACTGATCACTTGAGTCAGAGTGTTCGATTTATCACCCAACCTCACCCAATTTCTTGAGTAAAACACAATTTTACTAGGAGCTAACAGTTCCTGTAAGGTCCAACCCCTCGTAAACCATCTACTTCTACTCAAGCCCTCTCTGAACTCTTTTCCAAGCTGAGACCCTAACTCCTCCACCTTCCCTTTAACAACATCAGCTAGAAAAGCAAAACACACAACCGCCCCTGCGTACCATGCAAACATAGAATTTATAGCCTCACTCAATTCCGAACTACTACTCTTATCAACAAAACACGTATCCACCCACGCATACATCAATCCAATTTCCGACGCCAATTTACACGTCGCTTCGATTTTCGCATATCCAGCTTTCTTCTCTGCGTTTCTTCGTGGGAATGTCCACTCTTGAAAGGTGACCTCGTCGTTCTCCCATGTGTGGGATAGAATTGCATATTTAGGAATATTCTCACCGTAGAATTCGGAGAACTCATAAGTGGTGGTGTTGATTAGACGCATTGTGTCTCATTGTTCTTTCACCACGTTCTGCTTTCTAAGAGTGTTGGCGTGCATTTGTTGAAGATGTGGCACCGAGTTCAACGCGCGACCATGTTTGCATATTTAGTGACGGGGGCGTCTTCCGATTCTGCGAAGTAGCCTTGTAAAAAGTCTCTTGGTACACCCGCCGGGGTGTGTATGGACTGATAGGACGTTTCTCGACTTTCGAAAACGTTAAAAAATTCATTCTTCGATCATTTGATATCAGAACCCATCTTTTCATTGCTGAATCTCTAATGATTCAACATAACAATTCCTAAATATATGAATTAATACTTGTATCAAGAGATATTCCTAGGTCCGTTGTTGCAATGTCCCGTCAGTCCATACACCCACTGGTGATCAGAAATATAAATTTTCATCGCATATTAACCATACTAGTCAACAATCAAGATAGTTGAGAAATATCCAAAATAGCATGACTAGATTTCACAATACTAACTTTCAAACTCTGATTCTATTCTTGACTGACTAGCCTACTTGATCTATCAACTAATCTAAAACCATAAACGAACCCAAACGCCTCAAGAATGCAATAACAAGTACCCGCTAGATGAGCCCACGATCTTTAGCACATAAAATTCACATTCATCTCCATGCAGTATCAAATATGTTAAAACATACCTTGACGCCGCTCGCTAACGCTACCAGACACTATCAGTATAACGGCTATCACCACCTCTGCTCCGAACCACTAAAGGATAACTACTCGGGGGTGGTACTGGCCTACTACTGGAACTTACCACTGATGGCGCTACCCATGAAGGCCTCCTTGTCTCTGTCTCATAAAACGACGAAGTAGGTTCAATGTATGCACCGCGTGCAACAGAATGGCTTCCCATGAAGCTTGCAGCTTCGGATGTATTCACAGTTTTAACGTCCCAATCACAAGGTTTAATTGGTAAAGGTTTGGGCAACCCGCTGCCGGAACGTGACGGTCTTGCGGTAATCTCAGAATCACGCGAAGATGAGCCATACGAAGATGAGCCATACGAAGATGCTGTTACGGACCCCAATTCTTGAATTCGTGGAACTTTCAATGGTTGGGGGGGCGGGGCGGGGGCATGGTGGTATCTTGTGGTATCGCCAGAGTGAGATGAGAAGCTAGGTGGCTGAGGCGCATGATGTTTTCTTCCACTAGTCCTAGATATAATGCGAGTTGTAGTGCCGTCGTCATGATCATGGATTGTTAAATTAGCATCGCCTTCGAAAGTAATTTTTGTTATGGATTCGTGAGTTCGGGATGATGTTCTTTCGCGGGGTGCTGTCGAATGGAAGCGTCTACTGCTAGTAGCCTCACTTCTCGATCTGGTGTGGTGCCTGCCATCCCGCGACTCCCTTGTGTGTAGTGGGTCCTGTCTCTTCGCAGTTGCAGCCCTGGATTGATCTATGTCTGCAGCAGCCGCCGCCAAGCGATCTTGCGGCACATACTCCGTCATTTTATTAGCGTAATCAGAGATTTTCTTACTCCTCTCTGCTTGACTGTGCGATCCTAGTGTTTTCTCCCAATTTTGTCGCGCCCTTTCAACGTCTGCGTCGCTTTCAGCCCGATAATCTTTGTTGCTATGCCTATTCTCCCAAGCTGCGTCTGCGGCCACGACAGTGCCGCTCTTATGGCCTCTTGAACTAATGCTCGCAATACTGGCAACCTCAGACTTAGCGGTGTTCGGATCTTTGTAAGAATGAAGAGCAGATCTAGAAAGGGGTGTTCCATTTTGAGATTCTGATCTTCTCGTTGTGGATCCTTCAGAAGGATCTTGTGTTCTTCTTGATGAAGCATGAGAACTGTGGTGATGCGATGATGTCCCAGTTTCACTTCTTTTAGCACTTCGTTCACGTTCACGTCTACGTTCATCCTCATCCTCATATACGATAGGAAGAGGTTTTGTTTCCCGCTTTTTATGTCGCGTTTTATCTCGTTTTTTATCCTCTCCCATGATGGATACGTAAAGACACAGAGAATGATGAAGAGATGTAATTTGAGGCTTAGTGAAGATATCCTTACCACGCACATCTCTCATCCATATATCTCTTCAACGATCTAAATATAGAAATATAAAAGTGTCTAAACTCTCATGATTCGGCCGCTCCATATTCACCTCAATCAAGTCTCGATCAATACATGACTAACACGATGGGTTTCTGGATTCGTGCACGACGACAAAAACGGTCAATTTCCAAGTACGAGACTAGATCATAGTTGCCCGCATACATAAACATGAGGCCAATGGCTGTGATATGTAAACTAATAGTAATGACCATACAAGAACGACCTATTAGGGCTAGTTGAAGTTTATAAATAGTCGTGGTAGGCCAGCTCAATTAGTCGGTGCACCCGGTGAAAACCCAATGACCTCTTTGGTACAAATTAGCGCTAAGCGCCCACTCATCATGGCCCCAACATCATCAGGCCAGTCTGGCTCAGGCCCCATTTTCATTGGAAAATGATTTTCGCGCGAAATGTACCAACTATGCTCCTAAATATTTAAATACAAGTGTATATAACTACAACTGACCAGGGATCAAGACAGGTCATCATATTTGAAAGTTCCAATTCTGTTTGGGATGGATTGTTGGATTTTTTTCAATAAATAATGCTTGAACAGCTCGTATGGTTTGAATGCGGTTGACAGTGTGAGAAGTGGGTATCTTTTATTCATTGACAGATTCGTACATAAACAATACTTATACAGCAATAGCATCTCCGCATCTCCCACAAAGCTCATCCTCTACTGGAGCTACATACCTCCAACATCTAGGGCACTTTTTGTCTTTAGGAGGTAGAACCCATACTTTTCCTTCGTCATCCGGGTTATGCCATCCTGGTGGATGCAACTTCGCGGAAAACTTCCAATCTCCTCTATTAACATCGCTACCGAACTCCACGGATGATACAACAAAAATACTTTCTAGCTCATCTGCATAGCGCTTGAATACCTCGTGGCCTTTTGATGGCATATCTATCAACACGGATGATTCTAAAGAAGACCCGATAATCTTTTCAGAGCGAGCCTCTTCTTGTGCGCTCTTAATGGCAGTCTGTGCCATTAATAACCATGGAATGTCTTGCTCGATCAATGAACATTCTGCGGCAGAGAGCCGACTCGAAGAGATAATAGGATCAAGAAATTCACGATGAAATGGATGAACTGGATTTTCAGCAGCCATCCAGGCAGGCAGATGGTTCCAAACCTCTTCAACAAGGCAAGGAGTGATTGGAGTTAACATCTTCAGGAGACCGTGGAATATCTCTTCCAGGACACCTCCTCCGTCACCACAGTAAAGTCTATCCTTACTAGCTTCAAGGTAAAATGCGGAAAGGTCTGTGTGGATCCATCGATTGATTGCACTTACAGCCTTGTTAAACTCGTATGAATCATAAGCCGAGTCGACTTCAGCCATGACTGCTCGCAATTGAACCAAAGCTATTTTGTCCAGTTTAGTCAATGGTGAAGTCCTGGCACTCTGATGCATTGATCCGAGCAACATTTTGAAAGTGATTCGATACTTTAGTAAAGCGGAGTTTACAGTCGCAAGAACTGGTTGACCAATGACAAGGTCCTTAGTATAATCGCTGCTAGCGACCCATAAGCGTAATGCATCAGCTCCCAGTCCTTGAGAAATGTTACCGCCCTTCTTTATTTTCACAGGCGGAAGAAGGGAACCATCCATTATTTGGCTCGGCGCTATTGTATTCCCAATTGATTTAGACATTTTCTTGCCATTTTGATCAAGGGTGAAACCGTGTGTTATCAATGTTTTGAAAGGTGCCTCTGAACTATCAGCAACAGCGGTGTGAGTTAATAAACTTGATTGAAACCACCCTCTATGTTGATCAGTGCCTTCAGAGTAAACATCAGCACGTTGGTTGGTCTGCGACCAACTAGTGCCACTGTCAAACCAAACATCCATAGTATCTTTGCCTCGTCGATATGTACCGTTCATTCCGGCGGGAATCCATGCCGGATCGTTCTCTGGATCTGACCACCATGCATCAATGCCTCGTTCATCGATAACTGATAGAATATGTGCAACACTTGCATCAGTTAACAAGGCTGTGCCATTTTCGTCATACAGTGCAGGTATTGGAACCCCCCAAGCTCGTTGTCTCGAGATACACCATTCACTCCTAGATTTGATGAAGCTTTCTAATCTTTGCTTTCCGGTTTGAGGGATGAATGACACATCGTTTAACCTTTCTAGAGCAACACTCTTGACATCTCCAACATCTGCAAACCACTGTTCTGTGGCTCTGACAATGACTGGAAGTTTTGTTCGCCAATCGTAAGGATACTTATGCTTATATTTTGATATGAATAGAACTTGATCTCCGAGAAGTTTCAGAACCTCCATATTGCCATCATCTAAAACCGACTTACCTGACAAAGCACTTGGATCGTCAGGAAGAGCAGCATCGGTAAAGCAGCCAAGATCATTTACAGGAGCAACAGCTTCTATACCAAGACGAGTGCAAACCTCATAATCATCCATACCATGGCCAGGGGCGCAATGAACCAGTCCAGTGCCAGAATCAGCCGATACAAAATCGGCATGAATCAAGGGTTGAACATCAGAGTTTTGGCCATGAAGTTGATTGGTATACGTTAGAGTTTTGAGGACGGAGTTAGGAATATTTCGTTGAACAATCTCGACGGCTTTATCTTTGAAACATGACTCTTGTAAGGCAGAGATTCTAGAATCGGCAATGATCAGGTGTTCGTCGTCACATTTGACAACAGAATAAGTCAGATCTTGATGAAATGCAATGGCTCTATTTGCGGGAAGGGTCCAAGGTGTAGTAGTCCATATCAATGCCGAAAGTTTATTTAAATTGGGGATGATGTCTGTTAGTTCGTTGGAAATGTTCGTGATAGGAAATTTGATATAAGCAGACGTTGAAATATGTTCGTTGTTGTACTCAAGCTCCGCTTCTGCAAGAGCTGTCCTTGATGAAGGTGACCAATAAACCGGTTTGTAACGTCGAAAAATAAGGCCTTTCTTGACCATTTCCTGGAAAACTGCAAGTTGTTTGGTTTCGAATGTCTTATCCATTGTCTTCCAAGCCTTATCCCAATCTGCCATGACACCCCATTCCCGGAAGCCTTTCATATGTTCTTTTACGGTTTTGCTTGCTAGGTTCCGAGCAGCTTTCCGAATTCCAATGGCATCCAATACCCCTCCGCCATCTTTATTCTTCTCGCGTTCTTGCTCAAGAGCCTTGATCTCGATCGGAAGACCATGGCAATCCCATCCTGGAACCCACACAACTCGGTGACCCTGTTGAAGCTTGGTTCGACAAATAATATCCTTCAAGAGTTTATTTACAGCATGTCCCACGTGAAGAGGTCCGTTGGCGTATGGAGGACCGTCATGAAGAATAAACGGCTTCTTGGTAGATCTTTCATGGCTTTGCCATTTGTAAAGATCATCGGAGCATCGTTGAAGGTATTTTGGTTGCTCTGCAGGGAGAGGACGAGGACTGATGATGTTATAGTCAATTGGTGGTTCGAAAAAATAATTAACAATTGACTAGCCAAACCAAAGATTTGCTTACGGGAAAGAAGATTTAGGTAGTCTTAAAGTCGAAGACCATGATTTGACAGAAGGGCGAATTGACATCTTCGCTTGTCCATGGCCTCTTTTTCCTTGAGAGTTTCCGAATTGAGCTTTGCGATGGAGAGCGAGCTTGAAAGTTGAAGCTGGATAAGTCTAGTATTTGAACCTAATATACAAGGCTTATATTATATTATTGATTGAACCTCGAGATCTCTCTACGATTCTCGAATAAACAGATTGAGCCTCTCCATCAATAACAGTAAAAGATTCACCATATGCTTTGATAATCCCTCTTTCATTTCTCTGGCTCTATTAGTCGAGGGGAAAAGCTATTGGGCATGTTTATTCACGGGCTTCATCATTCCTACCGTGGATTTTTGCAATTCAATTCCAAAAGGATACCAACCGAATCTACTTTTGCTGTGTACATATTAGACGATTTCTTGTATTGTATATGCTCTTTCGTTTCTCGAGGAATCCTCAACAATATCTATCGAGAACGGTTTCTGGGCTTAATCAAGACCAAGAGAAGGTTATTCTATCATTTCTGCGACTCATAGGGCCATCCTATCTCGAATGGTAGCGAAGAGATCAGTTTATAAATCCACACTAAAGGTTGAACCTGCAGAAGAATTGAGTAGAGACGCAAGGTGATTCAGATGGATGACATTCTCTACCTCACACTCACAACCCTCAAATTTTAATTTGTTCTCGACGTATTCCACGGTTCTTAGCATGTCGACTATGAAGTCCGTATCGTAAATGCTTTATAGTATTAACTTTTCTCGAATACTTGAGCACTTCCAGCAAGAGTTTCTGTTTTCGACAACCTGGTAGCATCTACTAAAGTATCTTCTCCTCTCCCTCGGTAGGCTCGTCTCTTCGCGAGGTTATCATGTGATATCAAATGTAATGAAGTCCTCCTGAATTTGCCATCTAAAACCATGACGCCAGCTATACACTCTTCAGCGAAGAGCGAATTTTACCAATCGTAGAACGTTTTCTCCGCCGTGCGAAGAATTACCTAGGCACTGAGATTTGATCGCATGAGAGCACAAAAGTTGCTAGAACGCTCCTCACTCGACCTGCTAATATCTGATAAGTAGCACACTTTTAGACTACCTCACTACCTTACTACCTCAGGAATCTACCAAATGGATAAATCCCTCAAAGACAAAGAACAAAGAACAGAAAAACCACTAGATAGAGCTATCGAGCCTCGCAAATATTCGATAGCATCATGAAAACATATACGTCATCAGTACCTACCGTTGCACAGCCACATGGTGCGGGACATTCATTGCTGCCTACCTTACGTATATGATAGAACCAAAACATACCTCGACTCGACCCCTACAACTGCCGATGCTGCTCCTCAAACAATGACAGAAACTTAAACTCAGGTTACTTCCCGTGGCTACCACAAATCAAAACATACCGGTAGTGATGTCCGTCAGATATTCGCTGATAATCTCTTTCCTCGCCCCTTTCCCTTCAACCGAATGAATTCGGTTATTAGACTCTTCGACATCTAGCTTAGTATGAGCTAGGTAGGCACTTGTATTATCAGTCACCCCATCGAATAATATACTTCTCACCAAAACTATTCACAACGATGTTATTTTGTGGAAGGGTCTCACTTTACCGCCGCACTCCAGGGCTCACACAATTTCTTTCATTACAAGCTTTCGCCAAGCCTTTTTCATAACCCTTTTGGGTTGAAGGCAGTGCACGGCTAGTTGCCGATTAATCCGGGGGGCTTTTGAGGGTCGAGGGGCAAGAGAAAATAATCCTGGTAGAGCTATTTACAATCTCGTTGATCTGGTGATACTCCGAATGTTGTGACGGGATGAATGTGCGTATCAAAAGAGTCCCTTGCTACATATGGTATGGTTTGCTGTGGTAAAATGCAACGGCTTGTTACTTGGGGAAGATCACGACAGTGTGATTGCGTACAATATGACTTGTGGCGGAATGTATCTTCATGCGGAGAACTAATTTGTGTTCAGCTAGCTGAGTGTATTTGGACGAAAGGAATAGGAATGTCAGACGTGGAAAGTAGTCATCATATGTGATTGGACATTCTAAGCCCTACATCTCCCTTTAGAAACGGGAAAAGCATTACGGAGTGACAACGAGTCTCAAATCTTGGCTATACGGACACGTTTCTTTGGTTCCCGTTTTACAAAGCGCCTTTTCCACCATCTGGAACGTTGGGACACATCATTCATGATGGCTGGGGACGCGGAAGAATAAAGGAGTAAAGGCTTGGATATTTTATATTTAGGAATCTACGGTATCTACATAGTAGATATTGGTTGTGAACAGACGAAATGAAATAAAGGAAAGAGAAACTTGTTATTGGATCTTTCTCTAGGGTCCTAATTTTTATCTCTTGTTACTTTTTGGGGATCAGATTGCGTGCATAAATAAATACCCAGGTACGATTTCAATTTCAATATAAAATCTTCCGCCCCCATTGTAAGATTACAATCAACACCTACTTGCATGAGAGAGGTAACACTTGTATTGTAATCTTACCTCCCAATGAGAGAGATTGTATGGAACGGTTCAATTAAACAACAGTACGGATTCTTCTTGAAAATTTAGAAAATCTAGATTTCCTTACCCATTCAATTTCATTAATCTTACCATCTTACCATCTTACCATCGATTCAAAATTTCAAATACAACCAGAGAATATTACTAATAGGGTTATTCCAAGATCTTCTGCCGTCTTGGGGTTTTCCCTTTCTCTTCCCGAGCTGGCTCATCCATCCATCGTGCCATCCCATTAACTTTGCACTAAACAAGGACTTTGGGTTGAATTAACCTTGATTTAAGGAAAGAAGGCTATCACAGCTATCAAAGCTTACTTCGCTAGCTGCCTAGGTAGAGGATAGTGCTGCCGTCTCAACCTAGTTGCCCTCAAATGGTCCAATCACGATAGAGGGACAAGGAAACCACGGTACAATTCCCAATACTATCCCACTCCACCTTCGCCATCAGCTACTGTGACGAAAGAAAATAAATACGATTCACTCATTTCCAGCCTCAATCTTCTTTCCTTCTCTTGGCCATTCACGAATTTACCTTTTCTCTTCCTCCTCTTTCTCCTTCTCTTCCCTCTCCTCGACCTCCTACACCTTTTCTCTTCCGCCATCTTCTCTCTATCGATAATACCTAAAATACCGCAGACATGGCGAGATCTACAATACTCGCAAGTTTACTGCTGAGCTCTTCGCTTTTGAGCTCTGCAGGTGCAAACACCATTCAAATGTCAATCGCCAAGAATCATGCCAATGAAGCAGAACAATTACAAAGGCGTCAACAATACCTCCAGCGACGGGGTATGGGAGAGGTGATGCGAGTTGAAGAAAGGGCAGATACAGTCACGGCCAGTCTGGGAAATGCTGTAACTAGTGGATTATATTATGCCAATGTTACAGTGGGGTCACCGGCACAGGCACTGAGTTTACAAATCGATACGGGTAGTTCTGATGTTTGGGTGCCGAGTTCGAGCGCGAGCATTTGTGAGGATACTAGAGATGGGGGATGCCCGGGGGGAAGTTGTATGTATATCTATACTTCTGAAGCAAATCTAATTATGGAGGCTTGCTAACATCCTTTAGTTGATTATTCTGCATCCAAGACTTTTCTCGACGTAGACCAAGATGCTTTCAATATTTCATACGTAGATGGAACTGGATCCACTGGAGATTATTTCCAAGATACATTCTCAATTGGTGGAGCAACTGTTAAAGGTTTCACAATGGGTTTGGCTACCAATACTTCTATCTCAATTGGAATCATGGGTATTGGATACAATAGCTCCGAAGCAAATATTCAGACTGGAAACGGGACTACGTACCCAAATTTACCGAATGTGATGGTCTCTTCAGGATTGATCAAATCAAATGCCTATAGCTTGTGGTTAGATGATTTACGTGAGTTTCACCCTTCACAGGATGATCATGAGAACAGAGCTGACGTCTAGACAGAATCAAGTACTGGCTCAATATTATTCGGTGGTATTGACACAGAGAAATACGTGGGTGATTTAGTCACAGTCAATGTCTACCCAAGTTCTCGTGGAGGATCAGTAACATCCTTTACTGTAGCTTGGACTTCTCTCTCAGTTCAATCCTCATCTGGAACTGATCAATTGACCCCTACCGATTTTGCTCGCCCAGCAATCCTCGATTCTGGAACCACCATTACCCTTCTACCTGATGACGTTGCAGCTATTGTTTTCGAAGAACTTGGAGCAACAGTCTCTCAACAACTTGGTGCGGTAGTAGTTCCATGTGCTCTAGCCAAGAAGACTGGTAGCATAAACTACGGTTTTGGGGGAGTGGGTGGCCCCACCATCAAGGTGGATGTGTCACAACTCGTATTACCTCTCACCACAAGCAATGGCCGTACACCAACTTACGACAATGGTGAGGCAGCTTGTCAACTCGGTATCCAAGCTGCCGGCTCAAACCCCACGCTTTTCGGTGATACGTTCTTGAGATCAGCATACGCTGTCTATGACCTCGACAATAACAGAATCGGACTTGCCCAAACCGATTTTGACGCTACTGGATCCAATATCGTACCATTTGCAAGCGCAGGTGCACCTATCCCAAGTGCATCGAGTGCACCAAATGAAGAAGCTGTCACTCAAACAGCTTCCGGAATTCCAAGAGTTGGTGTAACAGCGACTGCGACTGGAACTGGTCAAGCAGCAACGTACAATCCCACTGCCACGGGATTGAATGCTGAGGATGGGTTTACGTCTACATCATCAGCGACTAGCTCTTCGAAAAAATCTGCTGGATCAGGAGGTCCTGCACCATTTGAATGGGCTAGAGTCTTCGTTGGTGGTTTCGCGATAACAATGGCTGCTGTTGGGGGTGGTATCTTTACTCTTCTAGTTTGATAAAGTTTTGAAGATAGGAAGCGGAGGAAATACATAAGCAAAATACATTGTATATTATGTACTTACACAGCCTTGTGTAGTTTTACGAAGCAATACGAAAGCGGATATTATATTTGGCGCAAAGAGTCTTTTTTTTCTGGAAGCGATGGCATTGATGGATGAATATATGTGCTCGGGTTGTTTATACTGAGCATAGCAGGAGAGGTATTTAGTTTAATAGGAAGATGAAATATGGAATAGAGAAATATACTCTTCAATCATCAGTTCAAATGTAGTTGCAAAGTGAAGTCTGCTTTACTAATGGAATGAAGAGATCTAGAACCTCGATCATGATCACGTGCCGATAAGATAAGACATACGCCAAGCCATCGATAATGCGTCTACAATCAATCATCCAGAGCTCAAGCTCCAACCTTTCTCGCAACTGTTCGTAATTCATTAAAGATCTTGTAATATCAAGAATCCCCGCGATCACATTGCACGGCATATGCACAACTATACCAAGACAGCTTGCTAACCAATATTCATCATTACACAACTACTCCAAGCCCGCCTCTCCGTCATCTTTCCCAACAAAACGCAACTGTACGCAAACGGGGTAGTCAAGTATATATCCATCCATCATGTCTACAAATGAACCCGATTCTCTTGATCCTCCGCCCTCTCGAGCTCAGGATCATACACTTCATATATCTACCTCTCCTCGAAATATTTCGATATCCGGTTCTCCAAAGAATCCCCAGTATCTGTCGAATTCTCCGCAGGAAATTAGATATTCTGTTTCGCCAAGAGAGGCTCGACATCTTTCTGCTGAAGACCATCGATTATGTGCTTCACCTACTGCTGAAGAAAGTAGATCTCCTAGAGATACGCGAAATATCTCTCCCGATCACCAACGTCGGCTCGCTTCACCTACTGCAGAAGAATTATACACATATGGAGAACCATTCCCCGAGATGCCAGAATATCCTCCGCATGTCGCAGATCCTTTAGTACATATTCAACAACCATCTGACTCACAAGACGGCTCGCAGATGCCTAGAGAAGAAGTGGCTTCTTTCGCTGGATACTTCACATTGATTACAGATTCGACTATGGGAGTTGAGGATGGAGATGGAAACCCGAAAACACCAACGACACACCATCCGTGTAAGATCCATTATATATTTTCGGATGATGAGGATTGTGAGGAATTGAAAGAGGCTTGTTTGAGAAGTTTACCGGATGCATCCAATACAGATACTTCGAATAGTAATTCCATGACGAACAAGAGTTCTGGGGAATTAAGAACTTCGGGCTCGAGCTCAAGCTCAAGGTCAAAATCGATAGTAGCAACGAAGAAGGAAAACAAGGATACGCAGGGGAAACAGAGAGAGGAAAGAGTTATCATTATCGATATGAATGAAACGGGAGATAGAGTAGTGAGAGCTCAAAGTCTGAGTGATAAATGGCAGGTTATGGGATGTGAGATTGGGAAAGCTCCGATCTTCGAAAGTGTGGGTGAGGAGGGCGGAGAAAAGAAGGAAAAGGGAGGTGGGTTGATGTTGAGGATTGATGGGGTGGGAATACCTGTTCAAAGAGGGGACAAGGAGTTGAGTGGGAGTCGGGAGAAGGGGAAAGGGAAGGAAACAAAGGAGATGAATGAAAAAGAGATTGCGAATTTGGATTTGGACAAGATCCTTGAGGGATTCGATAAACGGATGGATATTCTACGTAAGGTCATTGGTGGTGTCGGCTGGGATATGAGAGAGATGGGTGTGAACAACTTTGATGGAGAAGAAGCTGATGAAGAACGAGACGAAGAACGAGATATGGCAATAGCTGGATTGCAGTCAGCGGAAGAAGAGCAGAGGGAGCTCGAGGCAGAAGGAGAGGCATTTGAAGCTTCTTGATTTACAAGACTGGATACGAATGGATGTACACTTTGGGCATGCGGAAACGTTTTTGGGACAGGTGGAGTTGCATATATTAACTAATACATACATTTACGACATGGTAACACGATGACACGGTACAGCACGGCATAGCATGATACGGATTATCATAGGCGTATATCATAGGCGCAATATCATATTAATATTTCATGGTAAATAGACATGACATCAAGGTTTAAGCGAGACGGGATTGGGAGGACATGGAGCGGGGTATCAGATCAGTATGTTAGGTATGGAATTGACGGGCAGGATGATTGGTTTATCTTTTAATGTTTGTTCTAGAAGGAAAGGTTTAAGCGGTACCTATAGCGGAAATGGAGTGAGATAATTTATATCGGTTGATTTCGTGCATTACTTTGGTTTGATTAATCATACCTCGAACGCCCACGGGTATTCATGAGTGCTTCAATGTGATGCGATGTGATACGATGGAATCCCGCGAGTTTGATACCCATTGTTGTGTGAAGAGGAAGAAAATGAGATAAGATGAGATGAGGTGAGGTGAGGTGAGGGGGTAAATGACGTGCTAAGTACATACATAAGTGAAAATCATCAAGGTACTCGGGATGATTAGGGGGGACTAAGTAAGTGGTATGTTCTGGAGAGAACATATATTGGAAGGAGGTGGGTGGATGGGAGGGGAGATCAGATGGAGATGGAGGTTTACCTAGGTAGGTGGGTATATGTAGATTGGGGTGGAGTGGGGGTAAGGGGTGTAGTTGGGATTTGGATGTGTTGTGATGTGATGTGATATGAGGAGGGAAGTGGGTGAGGGAGGGGATGGGATGGAATGGAATGGAATGGAATGGAAGGGGGACTTGGATTTTGGGGTGGAAATGGGGAGATTGGGGAGGGAATGGTTAGCCGGAGACGGTGATACTGATGGTAGTGGTGTTATACTGCCGTGGTTGAAGTGTGGAATTAGGTAGAGATGAATGATGGATGATGGATGATGATTGAAGTGGGATAGTTGAATAAGGATGAGAGTTTTAGTAGGAAGAAAAAGTAAAAGTAAAGAGGTGGGATGAGAGTGAGAATATGAATGAAAATAAGATTGAGAATGAGAATCGAGATTTTAGAAGATAGTAAAGAGATGGACGATGAGGTGAGATGAAAGATCAAGGACGAATACAAAGAATCATTATCTAAATAGCAATGACAACAACAATAATAACTGTAAAGATGAATATAAGCAGGTGGCCGGGTAATGAGATAGATCAGTTAATCAATAAATGAAAATGAAAATGAAAAATGAAAAATGAAAAATGAGAAGGTGTTGAGATAGTAATGAGATGGAGGAAAATCGCGGGTATAGGAAGGATATCTAGTTCTAATATGAATTCTTATCTCTTCCTCATATCACGCTCATCCACCCCCCTTTGTGTATCTGACAGTGAATGTGAAATTAAAGATAAAGGATGATTAATCGTCGACTAACCGAGGAAATTTGGATAGGTAGATTGATTATGTTAACCGAGGGGATGCGATGTGATGTGTTAGTGAATATTGAATTGGATGTAGATGATGTAGGAATATGCTTTATATGTGGGAGATTGATGGGATGAGATGATGTTGATATTGTGGATGGATGAAATGGGATTAAATGATGATTACCGAGTAGCGAGGAGTGAATATATACTCGGTGCATAGGTAGCTAGGTAGTTTCTTCTGTGTTTCAAGTGAAGGGATAGGAAAGGGAAGGGAAGGGAAGGGAAGGTGGTAAAGAGTCAAGACTTGGGATTTCAAAGAGAGTAAATGGAAAGATTGAGAAAGGGGGTGAGATATAGAAATATAGAAGGAGGCGTATACACATGCGGGATATGATGAGTGAGGTTTAGCAGAAACGTGAACATTGAAGAAATGCGTGGATGAAGCAGATGGCAGAAAAGTGTCAGATGGGACGAGATGAGATGAAGAAGTGCAATGAATCCGTAGGTCTAACAACCAGTACGAGCGAAACAAGATGATCAAAGCCCAGGGATGAAATACAACAACTTGAAACACAGAAAACTAACCTCACAAGTAAAACTTGTCATCCAATACCAAAACAGCAGATACAATAACAAGCTATTCATCTCTCGAAAATACAAGCCCACAAAACAAGCATAAACAAACTTCAGATATATTTCAGTTAAGATTCATTACAAAAAGCTACCGTATATTAAAAGCAACACTACAATATTCTATAAAAACATCAATCCCACCCTCTCCTCTCAAAACTAAGGAAACGGAGAACTCCCCAACCCCTATCAAACGGTATATAATTTTTCCTCCCATATAAACCTATTATTCTTACACAAAGAAATGTTTTGTATCGAGGCACGTCTCATCTCAACGTGCTTGTGTTAGAAAGGACAATTTTCCCCTTCCTTCTCCTTTCCCCTTTCCTTCTCTTCTTCAGTCCTTGAACTGGAAAATCATCATATACGCCCAAATCTTATTTATGCACAGCTCATTTGATATAAGTTCAGTAACATATGCATATTCGCAGAAAAGACAAAAGAAAATTGAAAACATCAAGAGCGCAACTGGGCCTGCCATATACAAACATCATTTCCCTCTCATTCGAAAATTCATCCCACTCATGCGATGAATTTCTTCCACTTTCTTACCACAGGTGTGAAATCCGCACCTGGGACAACTGCCTTTTCTTCGCTCCATTCCTTGCCTGCGACCACCATTCTTGATTCTACAAAGCTCGCTCCTGGTACGACAAGTCTGTCTGATGTAGTGAAGTCGGTACCTGGAATAACCGCTCTCTTGGTAGTAGTTTTGGCATTGTCGTCTGATTTGCCACTGGTGAAGTGTACAGCTAAGACGATTGCGATAATGGCAACAATGATAACTGTGAAATGTTATGTTAGTGATTGAAAGATTAAAGTGAGGGATGTGAGGAGATGCAAGGGATACATACCAACAAGACCTAAGCAATACCACTTCTTTCTGTTTCTTGATCTCGCACTGACAATTGCCGTGTCCATTTGTTGAACTCCCTTATCCATATTCTCGACAACTTCTTCGCCCTTCATTTCGATGTTAACTACAGCAGCTTCTTGTTGTACAACCAAGTTCTCCATCTCTGAGAACAATTCGGCGATTTCTATGATATCTCTCTCAATCTTCTTGATGGCCTCGTTTCGTTGTCGGACAGCGTTCAAAGTTGTATTAGCTTGTCCTTGTCTATTGCTAGTCATTAAAGCTTGTTGAAACATTTGCTGAGGCTCTGCATTGGGAACAGCAGCGTTGACTTCTTCTTCTGTGGCATCGGCATTGACAATTCTATACTCTCGTCTCATCTGGTCTCGCACTGCATGTTCGAATTCCATCTCTTTCGCCTTGTATTGCTCCATTTGTCCCTTAAGTTTACGTTGGACTCTGCCAATTTGTGGTTGATTCCTTGGACTTCCTGACTCGGGCATTCTCTTGAGGCTGGATATTTCATTGATGAGACTCTTGAATGCAACACTCGACTCGGATGCAATGTTTGCGAGGTCTCTGGCGATTGTCCCTTGGTCAAGCTCACTCCCTACTCTGTTTCTCAGTGTTTGCAGCCGGGTAACGAAGGAAGAAGTCGCTTCAATTCGGTAGTCGATGTCGCGACATGAGTTGAGAATGAAGTTTGGATCGGCTTGCTCTCCGGGTGCACTTCCATTTTGAGCTAAAGATGACATCTCTACATTTTGTCCTGATTTGATGTTAATGAGATGATACTTGTTGTGCGTTCTAACGTGCTCACCACCATAAGAGTCTCGTCCCATTGCTCCTCCATTGTCGTATTGAGGTGATTGAGGGTAGCCTGGCGATGCTTGTTGAGCATACGGGTTTGCCCCGCTGTTTCCATATCCGTTTCTAATCCAGTACTGTCAGTAGAGTCCTCTGTGAATTTGTCTATCGCATTGTATCTTGGCATTGTCGGAAAGGTCGTGTCGATGTTATTGTGTGTTCAGGGGGATGATGAATAACTAACCCGTACTGTGACATGTTTATTAGTTAATCACTTCCAGAGTAATTGAATGTTGTGTCTTTTCGAGAGAAGATAAATATGAAGTTCAAAAGTATATAGCAATTGAAGAAGTGAAAGAATGGTAAATATCTTTGGGGGAAGGATTGAAACTCGATTGACAGGAATTGAAACACTGAACTTACACTCATTTTCCAACACGCTTCGACCCCTAAACACGACCTGGCGTCAGAATCAACGAAAGGATTTAAATGGCTAAAATGCACAAATTTCCGCGGGTATAGAGTCTATATTATTTCGTATTTTATATAAAGAAAGAGCGAATTGAGAGAAGAACTTTTGTAACAGAAGAGTGAGAAATGGAAATGTAATGTCAAGACAGAGGCAATTAATTAGATGAAGAAAAGGACTGTAAATGTTTAATTATTATCACCTCGTGAGTCGTATCTCATGGGAAATGATTTTTCGAGGAGATCTGCTGCGCCAAAGACTAATGAGTACTAGGTCTAGTCCTAGTCCTGGTACCTACTCCTAGGACTCCTGGTAGAAACTAATCTGGGACCATTTCAGGAACGTCTGCGGATTAGAAACAACGGTCGATGGAAAATTGGAGAATTAATCAAACATAATTGGTTGATATTTGATTACTTGAAGATATTCAAGGATGATTTAAGTTGCACTAAGCTTTACTAAACTCGAAACTTAGCCTCAGTGGATTAGACTCTGACCATTTTCATAGGCCCAGGTAACCCTTATGATGGTAAGCCACATACATGTGTGCACATATACGGGATAAAAGCCTTGCTGGTAGTTCGGGATATTTTTGGTAACATTGCCAGCAAATTCAAACCTGTGATCCGAAAGATTTATACGAAATGTGTAACAGGTACGAAGCGGCCAATAGTGTAACAATGTTGTTGATGGACATGAGATAATGTTAGATGATCAAAGGCTAAGCCAAATATTATACGTCGATTGGCTTTGAACGTTGAAGAAGATGGTGTACTTTGTGAGAATAATTCATGCACATCATCGACATCAAGCATGTTCAATACTATTGTCGTTTCAAGTTGGTTGGAAGCTCTTATCAGCATTGATGTTTATCGCATAGTCTCTCCACATTCATGATCGACAAGGTTGCATGACAAAGCTCTAGATCCTCAAGTGTATGGCTCAGGGCCGACTTCGAGGCCCCATGTATGGAAGCTTGAGACAGTTATGAGCATGATATTGATCACATGATTCGTGTCACAAGAATCATGGTTGTCAAATCGATGAGTCAGAAAGCGACCTGAAGTCCCATTGAGTCCTTGTGGTGCTCTTTCTATCACAGCAGGTAAGTTTCTGAGGATACCTACGCAAAACAAATTATCTAGCCTACTTTCTCTACACCGCTCTGCTTCAACACATTCAACACCTCTCTATGTCCTCTGCTTTCCGCCTGATACCAGACGCTTGAAAACCAGCCCTCATTGAGATCTTTCGCACCCCTATCCAATAGTAATTTAACGACTTCAGCGTGTCCCTGTTGAGCTGCAGCTAAGAGGGGTGTTTCTACGCCCGCGCCTCCCCTGATGTTAACATTTATCCCACTATCCAAACACTGCTCGACGATTTTGGGGTTTCCGCCGTGTGCCGAGGCTTGGAGTACATTATGGTGGCAGCCTCCAATATGACGGATGTCTGCTCCCCTACTCAATAAAAAGTTAAAGCTATTAAGACGCCCTTGTCTCGCCGCCATCTGCAATGCCGTTCCCCACAGCTCGCAGCCATCATCGATTCGAGCCCCATGCGCTAGCAACAAGTGAAGTATTTCTACATGTCCCCATTCCGCTGCACCATGAAGTGCTGTCCCATTCATGCTTCCCGCATGAATATTTGCTCCCATGTTCAATAACAGTTGGCATATTCCCAAGTGGCCATTGCTAGCTGCTGCACAAAGTGCAGTCCCTGCCTGTCCAGCACCAGCGTTCAGGTCGGCACCCGCATGCAAGAGTATTTGTACGATTTCCAATCGGCCGCGTTTTGCAGCACGTTGAATGGGTGGGCCTCTAAGAGACGAGCCCAGACATGAGAAGTGTAGGTCTACATCGGCACCTCTGCGCAGGAGAAATTTAACAGCATCTGGGTGCGCTTTCCAAGGAGTATCTGATGCAATGGCTAATGCCGTGTCACCATAATCAGTCAATGTATCAATGTCAGCGCCACGATCTAAAATCAGCTCCATGAGCTTGATATTTCCATGCGATGCTGCGGCAATTAAAGCATTTCCGTTCTTCCCAGGAGGTAAATTAACATCGGCCCCTCGGTCAATTAAAAGCTGGATGCGTGGATCAATTTTCCCACCGTTGGAATCTATAGATCCAAACCCTTTGACAGCTGCGGCGAATGGACTTCCCCATATCCCACCACTCATATTGATTTCAGCGCCGTGATTTATCAACAGTTCGAGAAGCTCCATGGTGGTGCCGACATTGTTGTATAGAGATGTTGAATCTGCAGCACATTGCAGCGCACCACCGAAATTCCCACCTTGTGCATTGACTGCGGCTCCTTTCTCCAAAAGTATTTTGACTACTTCTATCTGGCCAGCCCAAGCTGCAGTTTGGAGAGCTGTTCCATTGTAATCATCGTATTGATCAACATTTGCGCCATTATCTAAAAGAAGTCGAACGACGTCCGCATGTCCTTTTCTCGCGGCCGCTTTCAAGGGAGTACCTCCAAACTTTGCCTCTGGATTGACTGCAGCTCCAATAGCCAACAATCTTTGGACCAATTTTATGTCGCCACTAAAGCACGCCCCTTCCAGAGCAGTACCGGAATTTGAGACGTCATTGATATTTGCTCCTCTTTCGAGTAAGACTTGAATGACATCATCGTGATGTCGAGATGCTGCAACTTCTAAAGCAGTTGATCTACCGTTTTGTGTAGCTTTGATATCGGCACCAGCGTCGAGAAGTAATTGTACCATCTCTTTGTGGCCCTGATAGGAAGCACAGTGTAATGGTCTCGACCAGTTCTGATCCTGATCCTCAACTGAATCACCCCTTTGAAGGATTTCTCGGGTGGGAGTTTGAAGATTTGCATATGCCATGAGATGTAATATTGTCGAACCACGTTGTACACCATAATTATGTACAGCGACAGACTCAAGCATGTTGGTATATATTCTGAAAAAGCCAGGGGGTTGTTCCAGTTGTTGAATCAAGTGTTTCTGACACTGTCCTCGCCTCTCCGCTTTTTCTGCATGTATTGACCATTTTTCTACGGCATATTCAAAAAAATGATATTTATGTCTTTTCCGTTCCTCGAGACTTTCAGAGTCATTGGACCAGTCTTCTTGTAATATCTCTGGACGTTTGAAGTAGTTCATACAGGATCTTGAGAGACGGTCTTGACTCTGCCCAATGATCTGAGTATTGGCACTTTCGGCGTCGACTGCAAAGGCCCTGGTCACCAGTGGTGTTGAAACTTGCACTAGGTAGAGTAAGCCTCCTGAGAACATGAAGTCGACAACCGTCTGATGAATGAATTGTACGCGATATAACCCCGAGGTATACAGAGCTATCTCCACCAACCCTCCAGAAAATGTCTTCAATAAAGTCTCCATTCGCCTATCAGACTCGATATAATCCTGACTCTCCTCCCATCTTTTTTGTCCCGGATTTTCAGATCCTTCATCGCATGCCATCGCAATTCTCAATTCGGTAGCAGTTAAAGGTCGCTCAGCAAGGGCAACCCATTGCATCAACAGCAGTGTTTTGGGTCGATATTTAACTTTGATGACATTAGTCAGAATATTATCGTACACAGCTGCGAGGTCATCCTGTACCTTTTCCAGCATAACGTGAACTTCCTTAAGACTTTCCGTATCGTTGAATGTCTCGGCAGCCATGGGAACCACAAGCTTGACCCATTGAAAGACACCCAGTGATTTCTTCACAATAGCTGCTTCCATCTTTTCTCTACCCTCAATAGCCACCCTATCGTTGTCCCAGTTGATGATTTTCGATACCAGTTGTGCGTGAACGAAAACTGCAATATCCCGTATGTTATGATTTTCTACGTTGACCTCAAAGCCCTCACTCAAGGTCACATTGGGATAATGCCGACAAGAAACACAAATTCTTAAGGATCCACCATCTTCATCTTGTGACACTCTCTTCTTCATATCATCAAAATAATCAATCAGCATTCTTGCATTGTCGTCGCCAGCTTCATCGAGTGCGTCAACAAATAATGTAACCGGTCTTGATTGCGCAATCCAAGTGATGGCATTGAATAGCCATACTTTCAATTCATCTTCAGTCCAAACACAATCATTCTCCAACTGTCTCGACGCGTTCTTTTCGGCAAAGGAGTTTCGGAGTTGTTCGCGAATAGGTGATGCTTGTGAGTAAAGTTGATATAACAATTCCCTATACATTCCTTCGGGACTCTTTTGGAGAGGGACACCACGACCATGGAAGAAAAAATTCAGTACTAGGTGGCGAGAATCGCTATGGCGGAAATTTGACAAGACATATGCCATAAGTGTAGATTTACCTGCACCTGGTTTGCCCTTGATCCATATTAAACTTCGTTGAGAGTCTTTCCATTGAAGGTAGGAGCGATTTTCGGAGATCCAGCTGCAGGTGCCTTTGTAGGCGTTGTTCGCATTGCGACGTCTCTGCCCCAGTTCGGGATAGTATATCGAGGATAATACAGCTAGATATGTGAGTTAAATTGATATGCCATGCGAAAACGAACTGCTTACCTTTGTCCTCAGGTGTGAGTTCTTCAGGGACTCCTTTCCGGTCACGTTAGTATCTCGAATCAATGCTTTCTGGCTTGCAAAGAACTCACTTGAATTAGCTTCATCAGCATACTCTTTCAAAATTCCGAAAATCCTTTGGTATGATTTGCTTTCAGGCCCACCAAATCTGCAGATATTTCGATGATGACGATCTATTGGCACCGCCCGCTCAGCTGGAATGTGCAATAGAGCACTCTCCTTATCAACAATCAGTCCTTTTAATCCCGCACAAATGACCTGTTCCTGGAAACTAGCAATCGAAATGCCTTCATATAATTTCTTCTCCTTAAAGGTTTGCTGCACATCTCTCAAAATGTGGGAACCTCGCGCGAGAGGCATTATCAGATCATCTCTCACACGACCACTCAATCTCATCGGAACCGAAAGAAAGCCATTTGCAAAGTTAGCAACAGACAAAGGTATCTTGGTTTCATCGGAACCCATATGCGGAGTGGCAAGGAAGAGAATGGCGGATGTGGAGTCAAATATATTTTTGTAAAGGTTATTGTCGACAGCCTTGACAAGTGCCTTCTTCAGCACGATACCTCCCATGCTATGACATATGAAAATGATCCGACGCTTTTGATTCGAGTCATCCTTTCTCACTCTCACCAAATCCTCCAGAAGATTTGTTGCGAAATCTTCTATTGTACCTGTCCCTCGACTAAACAGTACATTCGCATCATATCCAAACGAGAATATTCTAGCACCTGGTAATTCATTGGGTAGCTGATCTCTCAACCACATATTTTTGACACCATCTTCGTTCTTCTCTGTCCAGGTTCTGAATGCATCGCCTTTTATACCATGCAGTGCCACGATATCAATCCTATAAGGCGACTCTCCATTCTTCGGAAGCACAGGAATTGGGTTCAAGTGGAAGAGACCAAACTTCTCAGTGAGCTCAGTGTCTATGGGCACTACTGTTGTGGTGGATTTTGAGTGAAACTTCCAAAATTTTCCTCCCGCCATTAGCTTTTCGTTCGGAGTAGGAGTGTAGATCTCAATTGCAAATTGCAGACGATTGCCAATTAATTTTTTGGCGAGTTTATTAAAAGAGCTATATAGATAAGAATATTACAAAAATAAAAATAGAGGAAACATGACCAAAGCGAAAGAATATACTACACCCATATACATATAGCATAGCTCTGATGCTTGCACGTTTACTTCTGCCCTACCATTGGAACAGGGCTTAGAAAATTTTGCAGACGCAACTTGCGCCCGCCTGGTATGTGAGAACCCTTGATCGGATATGCATGTCTGTATTTCGGAGCAATTTCATCCTTGGTATCAATTTGTTCATTGGATGGCAAGAATACAACGTAACCTTTCTTCAGCGCCGAACCACAATATTGGGAGAATGTATTCTCGAGTGTGGTTTAGCGGACAGAAGTAAACGGTTGGGCGCTTATTTTTGTTAACAACTTTGACCAATTGACTGGAGCGAAATCACCCCCGCTTTCCCTCCGACACCTCACATTTGTCAATTATAAGAACTCCTTCTTCCGGTACCAGTAGCTAGTAACACGTAGGGTAGGAATTCAAGGCGCGACAGATATACTCCGCGAACACCGAATATTCTATGATCCCCTGCTGTTCATTGCCAGATGCGATTACATGCTACACGCTTGTGCATTGTACTGAACCTCTAGATTCGGAGAGAACAGATGTATCAAAGAAGAGGTAGATGATGAATGAAGCGCATTGCTATTCTCATTCATAGTATCAATATCAAATGTTGATTAAAAGATGCTTGGGCTTTGTGTTGTGCCTACGAAAGGCTGGTGTCCACATGCCATTCAGCTAAAATGACGCTAGCACCATTCAATCGACCGCCTAATTGGCAGAATTTTGATTTTTGTTCTCAATACAATTTATTGCATACAACAAGAGCGACGACACATGCGATCGTTTTTTGCTTCAGTCAATTGCTTCAGAAGAAGTCGCATTGAACTACAGGGTGGGAATATTCGACAACTAAAATATTGCAGATTTTTCTCAACTTCAATCATGGATTCCATTCTTCCTGACATATCAGTTGCTCCCGCTGCTGATCAGCATATTCTTCACGATGGAAAAGAATATACTACAGTCAAGGAAGGTCTTGCACATATTTTGATACCCGCAGAAGGTTCTAAAGTACCACAGACGACTCCTAAAGGTCAAAATCAAGTACAGTCTGTTTTTTACAACCCAATTCAACAATTCAATCGAGATTTGAGCGTCCTGGCCATCAAAGCATACGGAGAAAGCATCTTGGAAAAGAAGAAGAAAATAATCGAACGCGACAGACAAAAGAATGCTGCTAAGAAGGAGAAGAAAAGAAAGAGGGCTGCTGAGGAAGGACATGATGGGCCGAGGAAGGCTGGCAAACTCGAGAATGCAGGAGAGACCGTGGAACTTCCAATAGCCGTCGCAAAACACGAGAATAACAGTAACGACATGGAGACAGAGACTAAAGAAGACGCATCAAATGGTCAAAGTGAAGGAACAAAATCCACTGCCCCAGCGGCCAACGGCAACTCACACAATGATGTAGCAACTGAGACAGCTGAAGGACCTGAAACCAAAAATGAAAAAGAAGTCACAAAACCCACGAATCCAATCAATCCGAGGTTCCAAATCCTCGATGCCTTATCTGCGACTGGACTTAGAGCTCTCAGATATGCCCAGGAAATTCCTTTTGCGACATCGGTCACTGCGAATGATCTTTTGCCCGCAGCCACGAAAACGATCGAACTCAATGTGAAGCATAATAAGCTGGAAAACAAGATCAAAGCTGTGACCGGTAACGCACTGACACACATGTATAGTCTTGTAGGTGATGATTGTAAAGATGGAAGTGGCAGCCGAAAATACGATGTAATCGATTTAGATCCTTATGGCACAGCAGCTCCGTTTTTGGATGCAGCGGTACAAGCAGTCAGAGATGACGGAGGGCTTTTGTGTGTTACTTGTACTGATGCCGGTGTATGGGCTTCAAATGGGTATCCTGAAAAGGCATATTCTCTCTACGGGGGAACTACAGTCAAGGGTCAGCATAGCCATGAGGGTGGTTTAAGACTTATTTTGCATTCGATTGCTACATCCGCCGCTCGATACGGTCTCGCAATGGAACCACTCCTTTCTCTTTCGATCGATTTTTACGCCCGAGTATTTGTTAGAATATACAAATCTCCTTCCGATGTCAAATTTTTGGCAGGCAAAACTATGATGGTTTATAATTGTGATACTGGTTGTGGGGCATGGACGACTCAAATGGTCGGAAAGAACAAACTTGCACCCAATAAAAATGGCAATGGCCATTTCTGGAAACACGTCTACTCCATGGGACCATCAGCAAGTGAAAACTGCGCTCACTGTGGTATGAGAACTCACCTCGCTGGACCTATGTACGGTGGTCCGCTTCATCAAGCCGAATTCGTCCAGAGAATTCTAGACGGTCTGCCCAACGTTTCCAAAGATACATATCACACAACAGCTAGGATAGAAGGTATGCTCACATTGGCCCTCGAAGAAAATTTGCCTTCTTTAGAAGACATGTCGGACTCCCCAACTGCCTCATCAAAGACTGGCAAAAATGATCCTGCAGCCATTGACCACTATCCGTTCTTCTTTATACCATCAATGCTCGCCAAGGTAATTCATTGTGTGACTCCCCATGAGAATGCACTCCGAGGAGCTTTACGACATCTCGGTTATAGAGTTACTAGAAGTCATACGAAGGGTGGTAGTATCAAAACCGATGCTCCTTGGGATGTTATTTGGGAGATCATGAGAGAGTGGGCGCGACAGAAGTTCCCGCCAAAAGAGGGTGTTATCAAGAAGAATACCGCTGGCTGGTATATAATGGGCTTAGACAAAAAGGCTCCGATGACACAGGAGGGAACTATCAAGGATGAGGCTAGTAGTGGTGATGCCGACGAGAAAGATAAGCCGCCTACCGAGAAAAAGAAGCTTGAAGTAGTTTTTGACGAAAAGCTGGGAATGGAGAAAGACACAAAAAAGATAGTGAGATACCAAGTCAACCCCCGGGAGAATTGGGGCCCAATGAACCGGGCCAGTGGCCACGCATAACGTTCATGCTATGCTCTAATATACCCTGTCTTACGAATTTTATATCATTCAATAATTTGTGTCTTTCCATCGGTGATGATTACCAGTATTTGATTGGTTACGACCTCGACTCTTCCGACGACTAATCACCCACAGAAAGCACCACAGCGGAATACGTTTTTTGTTCAACTTGAATCTATTCTCTACGTAATTTGAGCATTTTTCGCCCAAATCGCTTTATACAACTTGGACTTTTTGGTTCTTCCTCTTGCATTTCGGGTTCATAATCTTCCCAGGGCAGTTGCCTCAAACTTTGCCTAACAGGCGCTGATTGCCTGTCGTGAGGCGATGCACAGAGCTTTAGTATTATTTCCTCATCTTGTCCTATAACGACCTTCTTCTCCAGATATTCCGCACACACACTCCTAGATGCCAGGAATATCCAACCTTTCGGTGGATATAAATCGGCCACTGTTCCTTTCGGTACAAATACTGTGAGTTCTCCCGTACTGCTTGGTTCGTGTATATGAATGGCCACGGAAATTTCTCCAGCTGGCGTTAAAAGTCGGTAATCCACGAACGTGAGACCTGCAAGCACTGGGTGCACTTTCCAATGAGACCAGCCAGGACTCAATGGTTCAACTCCCGCTAGGTACTGCGGAAGAATAAATACCGGCCAGGTAGACCGTGCTTGCATCATAGATGTCATGGATGAAGTTGGCTGGCCATCTGGTTTAATCTCTTTCCAATGTCCTCCTGAGTATTCCAAGCTTTCTGGATCTGCCATAGGACCCCATACACTCTCAATTAATTCCACCGCGTCATACCCCTTTCCAGCTTGAAATAATGCTTCTGCTGCCATTCCACAAGTGTAAGGACTCACGATCTTCACCTCTTTTCTATCTTCTGTATCTCGAATTACTCGTGGAAGTTCTCCACTACTTGAAAGTCCCAAGTGCTCGTCTGACCTTTCGATATGAGGTATGACACCGAGAATTCTCCCATATGAGTTAACTTCGTGTGATATTGTTGTTGATGGGATGCGATCACTTAATCGCAAAACACCTGTTTCTGAATGCCAAAAATTCCTCAAAATGCTATCTTTGAGTGCACTGGCACGAGGTGTGTATTCATCTTCCATTCCGAACATGCCACACATCTTACTCATGGAAATCAGAGCATCATAGTATGCAAGATTTACTTTGGACGTAGCGCCTATGAGTATACTGGATGACATGACATCTCCTATTTGATCGTCAGAACCTATCTATGACATCGAGATGTAAATACTTACTTGACATGTTAGGTGGTGCCACGATTAACCCCCGTCTATCTTCATACATCTTTGCGAAATTCATTGATTTTTCCATCTTGTCCCATATCCTCTCCACAATAGAGAAATCTCCCGAGTACATCCAATAATCCTTAACAGCTACCAGCAGTTGGAAACTGAGAGTGAGGGAGAAAAAGGCATATGTAGGAGGCTCACTTCGTTCATTTTCAAAGAAAGTTTTCTGTATTGGACTTACGTTCCCAAGATATCCGTCAGCCTCCTGGTGACTAGAAAGCAACGATAAACTCCCCAAGACCGCTTCTAAATGCCCCGTTGAATGGTAAATGGAACGACCCATGACGAACAAATCACCAGCAGAACATATGCGGTGACCTTTTGCACTATCGACTGTGCATGGTATTTGATTTGTTCCAACTTGGAAATCCGCCAACACTCGGACTCTGTTAGAAATTGTCATGTCATTTTCATAAAGTATATTGTCATTAACGTCTCTTACGATCAGCGATCGATAAATTGCGAGGTAATGTTCGGGGCCACCGAACGCGACTGAACCAGTATTTGGCTCGCCTCCGGGCGATGAATTGATGTTCAGTCTCTTGAGATGCGCCACTCTTCTATGATTGATCTTTACCAAAACATTCGAACCTCGAGCTTCCGTATCGATCCTGATCCAGTCAAACAAGTCGAGACTTCCGGGTAGGTCCCATGCTCCTCTTAGTATCGAGGGCGGGGTATCGGAAGTGCCTTCGTAAACCGATAGTCTTCTTGACGCAATATCTATGGAGAAAATCAATCCACTTTCCACCATATGAATACCCCAGCTGGCTCCACCGGACTCGATCTTCACTTTGAATTTGATTGCCTTATTCTTCCATCGCGTTCCGTGTCGGCAAGGTGCCCATCTCTGTCCCGATATCCTTGTGCCAAATTCACCTACTTCCCATATTTCTTGTACTTCTCCAGCTTCCACTGTGCATCGATCGACAGTATTGACGCCGTCTCTCCATATCTTGTTAAGCAAGTCGTTTGAAGACACGAAACGACTCTCCCCTAGTGTTCTTGGTCTTATTTCTCTGAATCCTATCGATGAGATCACTACTGAACAACTCGGCGTTACAAGAGTGATCTTTTGATATCGTTGAGAAGTCTGTGGAAGTTTGAACTCCATCAACTTGGGGGTATGTGATGGTGGAAAGAAGAGGGTTTTTGCTCTATAAGTATCCATTGCATTAGACAGCCCAAAGAATGGCCCATCTCCTAAGAGAAGTTAATATTTCCCTCGATGATATTTTACCGCTAGCTTACCCTTCTTTTTGTTGTGAACCCCGGCGCTTGTTTCGCTGTACACAACATCCACTACAGCGGGTCGTCCATTACTAGTCACATTGACTGTCTCAATGAAAGGTATACCGCCCACACTCCTTCCATAGTCGAGTATAATCTCTTGTATTCCATCACCTTTGGTTGAGAGAGTAAGAGGCTGATTCCGTGCTAGGTATAATTCACGGCCGCCAATCTCTCTCCAGATCTTCAAGGGAAAATGAAATCCCATAAGACTGCCGGGGTCATTTGGTGGTGATCTTCTTTGGGCGGGTGACATATTATGTAAAATTTTGCAGAGATGTTGATTCAAAGTCGGCTATTGAATTCTGAATCAAGAATATGAAAAGAAATAGCAAGTCAATATGGTAGTTTCGAAATGAAATTACAGCAGAGGGGAGCACTATTAATTGAACCAAATGAAAGACGAATTATGCATAAATCCCCGATGCATCTTTTGATGCTATCATGAGATTACTAAAACGGCATTCAGTATGAGACTGAGGATCATCGGACTTGGGAATATCATGGCATCGGTCTCAGCAAGTTCCCGACGACATTAGACCAATCGATTTACCTCTGAATCTACCACCAGTCTAAATCGGTACTGGTTTCTTTCGCGAATGGGGAACTTAATCCACCACACATCGGGTTGAAGATATAACAAGCATGAAGAAAGCCACTATTCATCTACAGGAACGAGAAGTGTCTAGACAGCCTTAGCGCGGATATGAAAGTGGATCTGATCTACCGAAAGGTATAGTGTTCAGATCAGCAGTGTCGTGTGGAAGCCTCGTGGAGACTTATTGTCGCTCCCGAGGCAGAATTGCCCCACACAATACTCTTCCTGGATATCTTGAGGTCGGTGAGGTTTAGAATATATGAGAGAGGAAATTTTAGGTGGGAAAATTTTCAGTTTGGCAAGACATGATTGGTTGCCATTTCTCCGAATACTTGGTAGGTATGTAAAGTATACAGCCACAATGCTTGAAGCTTCAACAAACAATGTTGACCGCTATAGTAACGCATGACGGGGACAGCTTGCCGAGGAAAACTTAATTTGGAGATCACGAATATTTCAATCGTCGGCATATGTCCCGAGTGGACTTGAAGGGTGTGCAGTCTGCTTGGTGGTAGGGATCACAATAAGTGAGGGTAGTGGGGAGTTTCAAGATGGGACCGATAGATTGAGTCGACCTGCTTGCAAAGTTTGGCTGATGATAAAAGCTAGGATGAAGCTCACGGAAATGTGCAATACTAGTAGTAAAGCCCACTCCTCTGATACCAGTAAAGATTGAGATTTGAAGAAACAGGTCGAGAATGGGAAGAAGTGGATATTTGTCAAGACATTCATGTCAACCATCCCTTGTCTAACACTTTCCACTACTGCTGGATAATCGGAAACGGTTGGTACCGGCGGTGTGGGACTTTCTGCGAGTAATTACTCACTCCACTTTATAACAACACTTTTCGATAATCTAGCCGTCAACACACATAACATATTCTGACGGACATTCTGTTAAGACGAATCATTTATCTGATCTCCCTTTGATTCAGTACTAACAATTTTGGTAAACATCATGTATTTTCCCAGTCACTGGGTCTGGTAAAGTCTTCGGACAACACCATACTAGTGAACAGTTCTAAAGATCTGTCAAATGTGGACACAGACTTCAAAGCAACCTCGCCATCAGTTCTTTCATTAAATTTTGAACTTGGGATATCCCTTCAAGCAATATGTTGCTGAAGGGTTTCGTGTTTTGAACTGGCCTGTCAACTTAGAGCTTGTGTATGACGATCGAGCTTGACATTGATCAGTTCCTAACTCGGTTTGCACCACATGGATTTTGTTGACCTGAAGAGGCTAGCAAGTGCCAGCTATTGGATTGCAATTCAGCATAATTGTAGTGTAAGTGCTCACGGACTGGGACGTGCCAGAAGGGTTTGGGGATCAGTAGTCCAAGCGCGGGAACTTTTCATTAATGGTAGTTCGAAGTCAAAACTTTGGGCATAAGTTGTTCCTCAACGCTAGTTATTAGTTTACCCGCAATCTTCATGCCGAAATGTCCTCATCCAAGAGACAAGTGGTATCTGTTGATTCCCAATGCAGATGGACATTTGCCATCTTATTTATGGGCGAAAATCTAAAGGAAGTCTTACAAAGCCTACTGCACAGCCCTTCTTCTTGCATGAAGATACACCTCTATCCCAAGAATCCGTGCCTGGTTTTCACACGGACATTTTCACCGCTATCGATGATACTTCTTTCAGATGAAGGGGTAAATGAGATATCTGATGATTGCCATCTAAATTTGCCAGTGATACCAGCTGACTCAAATAAACTACTTTACCAGGCTCTTCCCAACATTGCGAGTCAGTACCGAGACTTTACAGTATATTCGAAAGACATATAGATGTTACGTCACAGAATATTATCATGTAAATTTGATACATCAAAATGACGGGCCAGTTCATTGCACTAAGTTGTCGGCAATGCTTTCCTATCAATCTTAGTGTAAGCCCGTATAATAATCGTGGCTCATTTAGTCAGTATGGACTGATATGACATTGGGCGAGATCTACTGCTCTTAGTGGCCCATTTTAATCAATCTATAAGATCTTCTTATATGAATAATTCCCAGCTGCCCAGCAGGGAAGGAATCAGGAATGTACATCATCCGTACCTGCAATGGTTCTCGACTTGAATTCATTTTCACAATTGATCTCTCGTCATCATCGACTGGTAACTTTGGTGATCATTGCAGTCATGCGAAGAGCGTCATGATAGGCGTCTCCGATAGAACTTTGATTTTTCATTTTTCATTGTCTTGAACTGAGTGGTTCACGAGTTGTCTAATACGATTCACGACTGTAAGTACTGGTTCTGCCAAGTCTTTGCTCATGAATCTTATGACTTCAGTTGCCGACGGTACTTGCATTATGGTTATCTGATCACGTCCTCCATGAAGCTCTAAGTTTTGAGGTACCATGAACGCAATATTGCCATTCTTTGATTTCATATCGTCCCCCAAACAAGCGCGGCGCAACAATGCAATTGTAGGGGATGGTCCTACCTCATGTAATAATTTCTTATGTTGGTCATCTTCTCACCAATCACAGCTCTTAAATACATTTCATCCTACCACCAAACCCCAAGTTTCATTTATGTAAGCGCCCATTTCTGCAGCCCTATATTTGGACATAATTAACGCCATGGGCACAGAAGGATCTTATTACCTTCCATTCATTCAATCCTGTAATCTTAAAATCCCAAAACACCAACATCTATCTCGAAAGATGTCTTCCCCATTTTTGTATAACTTCTTTTTATCTCCTTCTCCCTTCATTATGCACGAGAATCACATTTTCTTTGAAATTACGTTGACGAAGATCTGCAGCTCAAAGTAGCTGTATGATTGACGTAGATTGAAATATGTTTCTTTCAGTTGATTTTGTGTATATCTGTCTGGCATTTTATGTTGGTAGTCGAGGGGTTGGAGCGCAATCTTCAACAACATTGTTCGCGGGTGATTATCCGGTTGTCGCATATGCGATTGGCTCAGTATGTTATTTCCAGTGCTTTTGATGTATGATTTTATTGACATAGAATTTCAAGACTGCAAATGTTGCCACAACATATTTAATGGCATGTCCAGCGGGTTCAAACCCTTCGACATGTAACTTTCAGCAGCCATACACGTTAACTCAAGGACCTTCCACTGTTCAATATGCAATGACATTTTCTGGCTCCACGTATGTTATATGACAGTTATAAGCTGGAATAAATTACTAAAGCCTTCTAGAACAATGACTCTAGGATGTGCAGTGTCCGGATCTGCATCAATGGCATGTCAGGCGACCGAATTGATTCCCGGTACTACTAAAATTGCATCAACAATCATTACTGGCGCTGCAGCTACGTCACAATTCCGAGCAATTTCAATTGCCACAGACTCTGCAGCTTTATTCACGTATGCTGTTGTTGAGACCACTGCGTCGAGCTCCAGCACATCAGTTTCGAGTTCTGGTGCGGCAGTATCAAAGACAAGTTCGGCTAAAGGTACAATTATTACATCTGCACCAATATTGGTAGAGACAAGTAATGGAAACACAATTGGAACTATTGGAACGAGCTCGAAAAATTTGTTGGCAGGAACTGCGACTCCTTTATCTTCACTATCGAGTGTTACTTGGTCAAGTAGTAGTCCTACCGCTTCTAGTGTTGCTCCAACAAGCTCTTCGGGAGCTGGACTGGGAGCTGGTCCAAGAGATGGTGCTGGCCTTGGGTTGTTAGGAGTTATGGGTATGATTGGTATGGGGGTTCTGGGACTATGATGACATGCGACGAGATATGAGGATAGGGCACAGGGATGTCAACTGCGGAGAATGGAGGTGAGATAATGGCAAATGATCATGTGGGATGACTTTGACTTATTGATGTGAGCATGCTTGTGAATGTGTTTCGGGATCGGAGGGCATTTTTTGGTTGTTTATAGCGAACGGTGGCAACGGTATAGCGATTTGTATAAAAATTTGGATTCTGTTTATTGGGGGGAAACAAATATTGATTCGATATGATTATTGAGCCGTTAAATGAGATACCAAACTTTGGAACCCTCCCGCCACATTAGAATCATGTACGTGAATTGGGACTGCTGTGCAGCGAATCAGAAACATCGGGAAGTCAAATGCGGCGAGAAGAATTCTGTTCTTATTTGAGTAGAAGTGCTACAAAAGTATTGCTTGAAAAGCTAGCAAAGACTTGTGCCGGAGAGTAAGAAGACTATCATGAATACCTACCGAAATCGCACAATTTTGTATAGCTAAGGTGTGGAACGAGTTTGCAACAAGGCGTGCATATAATATCACATGAAGGACTCCTGGCATGGAGCTTGAATGTAGTCTAGGGAATGAAGTTGGACACTAGAATTCGAGGTGTACACATAACGATGGAGAAGTAACGCAGCAATTGAGTATTCTAAGCAAGTCAATGAGAAACACCCAAACTCCTGGCCCATTCTTTGCTGATATTTCGTGTAAGATTTCTCTTCGAACGAATTTACCATCATCTTCGAAATACAATCTTACACTGGTATTTCAATCATTTATTTTTCTCCTCTCTTTCACACCACAGTATCCAATACCTTCATTGCTAGGACCTACTTATCATCACTATTAAAGTCTTCGCGAGAAGCATTGGGAACCTCAGTAGCAAGAGATGCGCGAGCTTGGAGAGTCGTGCGAAACAAGCCTGAGATCAGATATGTAGTTATGATATCTCCTCCTTTCTGCAGGGTAGTCGGAACCACCCGAAGGAACGATTGGACTTCACTGGTAGTAGAAGTAGGCAAAGGAATCTGCCCATTGCATGTCTGGTCACCTTCCGAACCAACGCAATTACTGAATGTAGTTTGAGCGCATGTGATCAAACCACCAGGTGCAATACCACAACCAATCAGGGTAGGAGTCGCAACATCCTGGCGCGCTGTGATTGTCGCAAGGGAATTTTGCGAGGAGATAGGATGTTTGCCCGGTGACAGAGCTGTAAAGGTAGGTATGTCAACAGCAGATTTGTCTTCGCTACCACGGCGGGCTATTGCTTGAATGGGCTGACCATTGATCTCAGTGGCGATTAAGCCGAGAGAAGCTACAGCATGCGGTTTGAATAGAGTGATATCTGGAGTTGGCGCAGTGCCTGGCTCAATAGTCCCCAAGTTCAATGACGAAACTAGCCCTGCTACTGTGAAGACCTCATCACCAAGCGTCAAAACCTCGCGACGCTGAACACCTGTAGCTTGCACTGGGATCACGGTCTCAGTTGAGAAAACGGTAGTAGCGATTGGCTCGGAAAATAGACCGAGATCCTCGAGTAATGATACGAAGGCAGAAGCACAACTGAAGACCTGAACTTCTTGAGATGATTCGACTCGTGTACAGTCTTTGAAAATGGCACTATTGACGACTGATATCTCTGATTCAAAGCGATTTTCGCGGTGCAATAATGATTGTGAGATGGGAGTCGAAGAAATACGTTTTGTGATCGACTTATCTTTGGCGGTGATAATGGTTGTGAATGCGGTTTCAATGGTTCGGATTTGTGGTAGAGCATTTACGGCCCAATGGTAAATTGCAAAGAGAAGAAAAAAGGTGCAAGAAGGGTGCATACTGAAGAGAAGCAAACGACTGAGTTGAAACCTGTTTGTGGAACGGTAAGAAAGTCGTGAACTTGTGTAGCTGTTTATGTTTCTATCAAAGTACAAAAGATGGGATACTGAGCCTGAGTCTGGGCATTATATACCTGATCTCTTGAGGTGCATTACCATCATATTATTAAAAACGAACTAAACAAAGATTGGTTTATTGTTAGTATCCCGTTTGACCTCAGCCTTTTGTCACAGTTTGGAATTTGAGACTAATTCAATGAGCCACTACACATGTCATTATTCGCAGCTTGAACCACCAGTACACAGCTTGCATGCACGGAATGCAATGTGCGTAAAAATACCTCTAACATAGTTCCAGGTTATTTTAGACATAGGCCCAAGACCAATATAACCAGAGGATACAAGTTGAGAACACTCATTCGTGGCAGTGTTGCGTTATTTTTAGATCTTTCATTGTGCCGCAACATGGGCAAGGTAGCAGTTGAACTTTGCATCGGGGATGGAACCATTTTCTTAAAGATACCTACTATAAAAATTCCTTCAGAAAGTCACTCTGGTCACTCAAAGTGGATTTCTTATTTTGCTTTACTGTCAACTCCAAATTCACAGTCGTGCCGATGACTTGGTTGTGAATTCTGTCATCTAAATATAGACTCAGCCGGTTGGGTATACAGTTATTTGATTGAAGAGCAAGCCTTCGAGGAACATCAAAGTATGAATGAGAGACGGTGATATGAAAAGTGATTAGAAGGTGTGCTTGAGACACAGATGACGAGTGACTTGATTTTCCCCGAAGAATCGACATTACATGCAAAGCCATAGAAGATCCGAAAATCCGAAACCACGAAATGAGTAAATACCTCCAAAATCATGACTACCTTTGATTGTATATCGTAGAGCGAAAGATATAGTCCGCCGTTGTCCCATAGAAATATGCGGTGGCGGTGGTGGAGTGATAAGTATATGGATACCTATTGAACATTCTTATACAGTATACGCATCCAGATTTGAAAATATGTCGGAGAAGCATGAAAACTCAGAACAATATATCTACGTATATGTCTTGGTGCCTATATTCAGAGATGAGACAGAACACACATAGCAGTCTTATCTTCCCAGCGACCGGAGACTGCGTGTTGGAGTATCACTTACAGAATTGGTATAAAAATCATGTTGTTATTGCGTCATTCAACCTCAAACTAGAGAGGCAGAGATGTCGTATGAAACATACTCAACATGTAGCAGATATTAATTTTTGGGCCTGGAGCATGGCACATATGAAAATGAAGTGAGCCTTCCTTTTCGCCTCTCAAGGCGATGTTAACCTCGAGCTTGTGGGTGACACACTACCAGCAACTGTTTGTTGAGAGCCTTCTTAATCTGTTTCATCTGCTTGAGACGACATAGTGAGATCAATACACCAGAAACACACAATGGCTGGAAGCTCACTTAAGGATAAACGACATGTGAGCAATTTGGGTTCTCAACTTCCATCCAGGGGAAATGCTTCATCTCTGGATAATTTGCACCACCAGTAACTCGATTACAGCATTGAATCTCCTCTTGTGCCTCCTAGAGACAGCCTAAGTTTTGAATTCAAGGATTCCAGTGCTCATGGCATACTATGTTATAAAATCGTACTTAAGAATTCACAGCTTAGTCCAGCAACGGAACTATCCATTGGTAAATAGGGCACAGATAACTATGCCAATAGATAGGCTCGCGTCGACGGAGCATGTGGCTTGACGCACACTGATGTTGAGCCCTAGACAGCAGCAGGAACAGATGATGACGGCATAAAAATGGTGCAAAGCAAGGACTTGATGTTTTGAGTATTGATTTTATTGAAACATGACAATTTTGTGAAGGAAAAATAATAATATATAATAGCATGGGTTGGGCCATATTTGACCTAGCGTTATCACAAGATTTGTAGTGCTTAAACCTTGAGGTCTGGGCTCTCTTAAATACACGCGTAAACATCAACCCATAAGAGTCAACCCTTTCGTGAGGAAATCAATTGCGTTCACGACAACCTTCTCATAATAAGTTATTGAAATTATACCATAGTAATTCCAACATCATGGGGTACAAATTATGCAAGTTCTCCTGAGCGCAGAAGAAAAATCACGTAAAACAGGGGCAAAGGGATGAGTTATCCAGAAAACTTTGATTTTCGGCCAGATATGGGTAAGGTTAAGGTTAATTCAAAGCCTCTACTTTCCTGAACCATCAAGAACCGAAGGATTAAGTTTCTGGTCCGGCCAGCTTCCACGCCTGAAGGTCAACCATCTGTAAAGGGAAGCTTAATATGACTTTGCAGTGTATGCTAATCATTGGGACCCAATCCATCATAGGAAGATTGGGTTACAACAAGCCGTGGAGTATTCGCGCTCACAAAGGTATTTGCTTGGAATTTTGATGAGGACTTCAAGTAAAAGTACTCTCTTACAAAACATTAGTCATACTTTCCATAGGTTGACAGTATTCGAATTTAATAATATATAACCCCTGAAGATTGTGCGCGTTTGCGTCTGTAAACGCCAGGAACCGCCAGGAATCGATGGTAGATGCGATTGTTCCAGGCAGAAATATTTCTGAAATACCTGCTGCCGATTCGAAAGATGTTTGGTGGTCACTGGTCACTGCAATCCTTCATCTTGGCACGGTATTTTTCTGTCCTGTAAAATTGACTGTCTTTAGGAAGTCTCGTCTCAATTTTCCATTACAGCTAGAAGAAATGATCGTGATTTGAAGCAAGTTCTTCATCTTCGAGATATATTTTCGGGCTTCATCTCGACAAGCCCATCGCTAGCATATACTCGATGGACGCAGCCTTCAGAATTCTAGGTCCTTTTGCCATTCTGTAATGTGTACCGATATGGTTAAGGTAATTTGCAATGAGTGGTAGCAACAAAACTTAGGGGGCCGCCGAAAGAAGAGTTGGGCTGGCTGGCCTCACACAGTCTATTCCGGAGTGCTCCTATCGAGCAGGTAGGTCGCCTACGCCTTTGTCATTGTAGGCAGAAAACAATGAGAACGATAAAACCTGAGCTTTAGGAAGCTTTGGTGAGCTAAATTTAATTCGTCCTCCATCACTCTCTTTATCAATTAAATCGTATCATCAAGTCACCACAACTGCTCTCCAAATTCTGTTCCTAGTCTATCTTCACGAACGAAATAGATATATGTACTGAAGCTTTTCGTCAGATCGCAGCTCATTCCCTTTTTATTTCGTTGCCATGATTTTCACGGCCAGGCCCTCCTCCCTCATATCTCTGACCGTTCTTGTCGTGTTGTCTATTACTTTCTTTTCTAGTACGGTTTATGCCCTCCCCGCAATTGATACAGGTCCTATTGCCAACCTTCAGAATGAGAACACTTCCACCCAAACCGTAACGCTGGATGAACGTGACCACAAAGGAAATTTTCGTCGGTCAGATGAAATTGTTGCATATAAAAACTGCTGTGGATACACTCCTCTTCCTGGGACTGGAGGTAGGTTTGTAATTAACTTGGCCGGAGTGGGTTTTCTTATTCCCTTACGAGATGTTTTATATTAACCTCATTGCTAGTGGGGCAACAACGACAATACACCAAACGTAGTTGAAACTCTTACCCAAGATGATTGCGCACCGGAATTAGTGAAGAACATTGAAAAAATTGGTAATTATTCCTTTCTTTCACCACTCATCCTCTCATTCTGTCAGCCCCTTTGTTTGTTTCGCACATATCTAATGAAGAAATTTTGTCCGTAGGAGGCTCGATTAATCCGAAAACTTGGAAATGTCTACCATCTTACGGTGCACCAATGGATACCTATGTTTATTTTGTGTTAAAGAAAGGAGACAATGATAAGGTAGCAGAGGCACTTTCTACAACCCATAAAATTGAACCCGCATGGGAGTGTCTGAGTGGGCACGAATCAAGCGAATGGTGTAAAGATCAGCAGAGAATTGCCTCATAGTCTGGCGAAGGTGATTAGAGCTTGCAAATCATTTGATTGAATTGGGGAGATTGTTGTGGAGAAGAGAAAGTCAACCTGGGGAGGATGATTGGGTTTTACGTACAGTACTTAGAGGTTGTGGTTGCAATGTTTGTATCATCTCGATTTCTATCTTCTAGCAAAGAAACAATATTCTATTGAAAGTGATTCATTGAGCCGCACAGTAGGCGGGGTACAATTCATGGAGTTATAAACATATCCTGCGTTTAGGGGCTGACCCGACGATCTCTTTTCGTATCATAAGATTTTGGATGTACCGCAAAAAACCTCACGACATTTCTAAAACTTAGCAATATCCCCAAAGTATCAAGCGGCTTCAGAAATCTTCTGTTTACAGAGGAGATTATGATGAGTTTCTAGTGAGTGAGCGGAAGAGAAACCATACCTTGATAGTAGACAAAAAGACAGTGCAGCTGATCGGAAAACTGATGAAATACACGTACCAACTCATGCGTTCATAATCATCAGATATGCTGAATACTCTCATGAAATGATAATGGGTTGCTACATCTTCCCAGCCAAGCATCCGAAAGGATATAGAAGACGCACGAAGAAGATCGAATGAGAATCAAAGGACCTGATCAACATAGTATCCGCGGATATTTCTCTAAAACTCGTTCAGCAATGAGTAGAACTCTACTTCCGCGGAGAACTTAAGAAATTTAGATGTTGAAGTGCACTGAATTGTTCGTGCCGGAAACGCGTTGACTACTGTGGCTATATCCTGTCGTATATCCGAGAGTACTGAGGGATATCCGGGTTACAACATTGCAACCCACTACTTAATTCGAGTTTAATCCTCTCAATTGCATTATTCAAAAGAACAAACATATCGATCAAGTTCTTTTCATCATTGCTTTAGCACCAAAACTTTATTCCACTTCTTGAACAAAAATCTTCCGCCTGAGGAACTATCTTCATCATGGCTCCAATCAATTTTGGCGTTCTCATGATACCCTATCAAACAATCGACGTTGCTATGCCTCTGGATGTTCTGAGCTCATGTGTAAGTCAAATCAAATTGAAAAGGTTCTAGATTGCTGGTTTAAAAATTAATGTTATACATAGTCAAAATCAATGATGGAAGCTTGCCAATCTCCCGAGGCTCCGGAAATTGATCGCTTGCTACCTCACGCAATTGACATCAATTTCTTTCATATCAATGAAACCTTGGTAAGATACTCGGAGCTAAAGATTCAGAGCATAATTTGAGATCAATAATAGGAACCAGTTGAGCTCACTGCTGGATTCAAAGTGGTACCAACAACCACCATCAAAGATTGTCCACCACTTGATTACCTCCTCGTTGGTGGTCCAATACCAACCTACCAACTCCCTGAATCTTTTAAGAGCTTTATCCGTGTCCATGTTGAAGCAGGCAAGGGTCTTTTTACTACATGTACTGGTGCCGTAACCATTGCTCAGACTGGAATATTGGATGGAAAAAAAGCAACGGTGAATCATACTGTTATTGAACACGCTAAGAAGTATTTCCCAAATGTAAATTGGACGATTGATGCTCAATGGATTATTGATGGTAATATTTGGACGGCTGGCGGTGCTTGTGCTGGGATGGATATGATGGCTAGTTGGGCAATGAATAGGGTTGGGATGGATCTGGCGAAGTTTGCATTTGAGGCTTTGGACTATGAGCCTAGGGATGTGAGAGGTGATCGGGTTCTTCCTCAGCAACACCACCATATCGTGGAAGCTTAAAGGATTCCAGAGGGGTGAAAGGCCATGGTCAGAGACAACAGCTCTTTATTAGGAAGCCTAGCATTGCAATTAGGAGAAATGAGGACCACTTGATACAAAATAAACCACCAAATCTAAAAGCTTTTGTACTCATAGATGCAGAATCATGGGTATGCATTTGCTTATTGTATCACAAAACCCAATTGCCGTGCTTAAGGATGTACGGGCCTGGTGAACAAACGAAATCGAAAGTTCCCAAACTCCACAGACAAATTTGGCAAATAGCTTTTCAAATTGGAACCTCGTCCGCTGGGACAGGTTGTTGGGACAGGTTAACTCGTGAGGATAGACTTGATTAAAAGAAACGATGAGGATAATTTGGGGATCAGTGATGGAGAAGTGATCTCAGGGAAGGGCTCAGATCATCACCTATTTGGAAACACCAAACACATTGAAGAATGTTTCGAATCAGCAGCGGAGGAAGTTCAAAGTGTTTAGTTACTTCGATCTAGATGTTGTCTTAAAAACTGATGGACCTCTAATCGGGTTTCAAGACGAGCAATTAAAATACCATGGTGCCTTCTCGCCTGGAGTTCTTTGACTGTGTTTCACTGGCCTGACTGACCTCAAACACGTTGTTTTCGTTGCGAATTGACCTTGGGAAGGTCTTTGAGACCAGGAAGGAAACTCGAGGTCAAGAGTGAATGCCGGTACAATTGAAGAGCCATGAAAAAGCCATTAGCAGCTGGCGTCATTGAATGATGGTGGCCGTGTTCGTTATTTGATCCCGTTGGCATTGTGATCGAGACACTGGTCATTCCGACAAGATATCTGTCGGTAGATATCTTTGTATATCCACAAGTACCCAGTAAACATTCAATTTTTACATCAATAACTTCAAGACGTATGTATATATATATATATATATATATTATTCAGGAATTTGAACATACAAAATATATAAATATGTTTTTGTATAACGTGGTTTATCAGTGAGTAGATTATATCAGTAAATAGGTTATTTCGAAAACTATTTAAATTAAGCTTTTTAAAAATTTAAAATTTTAATAATCAATTATTTTTTTTGGAATAAAAGATTTTAAAAAATAATTAAAATCTAGATTTTCTATTAATCTAATTTTTATAAAATAATTTCATTATTTTCTAGAAAAGAAAGGAAATTATTACAATTTTTGTTATAAAAAAAACTATTTTTATAATAACAATTTTATAAAATCGAATTTCTTAAAACTAATTAGATTTTTAAAATTCTTTTATATTCAAATATTTTATATCAAATTTTCAGAAAATTATATCTATAAATAAAAAAAGTGTATAATTATATACAAACGAATTTTGTATATAAAATAAGTGATCTAACTATTGATATAACCCGCTCACTAATAAACTACGTTATTATTGATTTTTTGAAATTTAGAAAGATTCAACTTCAACGTGCAATTTCAATATCGCATAATATTTATGGATTATGGATTATGGATTACGGATTTATGATATTAATAAATAATAAGTGCGCCACAAAATCGTCATTGTTCAGTCGGTACTGGTGGTATTAGTAATTTGATAACGATAAGGTCAATCGTCCCAAATCATATCATCCACCATCCATATCATTTGAACAATTGAATATGTGCATGTGAGGTCGTGCACCAAGATTTCTTTGGTTGAGGGGGAACCATTTCTCCTTTTTTTAATTAACAACTTAATGCCTACTTATTATTATTGTACGAATATTTACTGATATATACTCCTATTCACAAAAGATACTCCTATATTTTTACTTTTCATCTATCTCAAAATGTGTTCAGCAGTACAATAACACCAGTTCTCATTTACATTCTTTGCACTCTCCCATTTTCCCATTCCACCCTCCACACTTTCTAATGTGGGCCTTGACACGCTGACAACCCACCATATATCAATAAGATGTTACTTTTATACCAAGCTGGAAGTGTTAAGATAGGAGAAATAGTTCGGTATAATGTTACATATACGCCGGCACACGATAGGATCCTGCCTTCCCCGGCAAGACTTCATTTGAAGATCAAGAATACTTCGGCCATAGCACTCCGAGCAGCCTTCGTTCACGGTCCTTATACCCTTTACGCAGCAGCATATCCTTCTACCTTCAATCCGAATGTCAAGTTCGAAAATCCTAGACGGGATGGTGTACCTGAATTCGAGCCAAATCTAAAAGCCGGAGGGTCATTCTCGACAGAACTTGTTGTTCCAGAAGATGTGCGCAAAACAGCCGGAAGCGCAAATCGAGATGGAAGATCGCCCGGCAGAGATGATTCGGATGTGAAAAGTGTTACCTGGATCATCGAAGTCACATCGCAGGTTGTCTTTTCCAACTCTGCCAGCGTTAATTATGAAATTCTGCTAGGTCGGGACGAAAAAAGTCTATCGTTAGGATTTGCTTCGGGGTCGATGTTAGGAGGCACAGCACCAGTGCCTGGACAACTTCATGATCACCAACAGAGTCAAGGAGCGAAAGATGGCCATCACGCGGCGTTACCGAGGGGTATTTATTCCAGGGCTCTACGAGTAAAGGTTGATGATACTGCAAGTCTATGGAATACCCCGAAGATGGACGGTAGGGATGAGGCAGCGGAGGAACAAAGGTCGAAGGGCAAGAATAAGGATGCACCAGTTGAAGATGCCACAGGAGAGGGTCATATCAAAGAAAAGCCGAGGAAGAAGCGGACGAAAAATGTACATTTGGTGGTTTTGACACACGGATTGCATAGTAATCTTGGTGCTGATATGCTATTCTTGAAGGAGAGTATAGATGCGACAGCAAAGCAAGCCAAGCTTGATGCAAAAGCCCGAAAAGCAAAAAAGAAACAAGAGGAGAAGCAAAGAAAGGCAGCTGAACAAGCCGAAAATCAAAATACACAAGCTGATGGCATGCCAAATGGAGAAGCGAACACAGAAGGACGCCCCGAGGAACAGGCGGAAGAAACAGATGATGAATCTGATGATGAGGAAGAAGTTATTGTACGAGGGTTTTCCGGGAATGCCGTCCGAACAGAAAGAGGAATTAAATATCTAGGGAAAAGACTTGCCAAATATGTTCTCACAATGACATACCCAGATCAACCATTTCGACCTACCCTCAAGAAGTCAGCAACTGAAGCCCTTTCTCATGCTCTTAAACCTGATTCTTCGAAGCTGATGGATGATTCCGGGAAACCAGCACATGAGAATAGCAGCATCATTAAAGCGCCGCAAGATGTTGACCTTCCTTATCATTTCACAAGTATCAGTTTCATTGCCCATTCTCTTGGTGGACTGGTCCAAACATATGCCGTGGCATACATTCAAAAACATTCACCTCAGTTCTTCGAAGTAATCAAGCCAATTAACTTCATTGCACTTGCTTCGCCATTCTTAGGTCTCAGCAATGAGAACCCGTTGTACGTCAAATTTGCATTGGATTTCGGATTGGTTGGTCGTACAGGTCAGGATCTTGGACTGACATGGCGAGCACCAACCATCGCAAGAAGCGGTTGGGGAGCGCTCGTTGGAAATATTGGAGAAAGTGCCCATAAGAGGCTTGACGGTGAATCTGCGCCAGAAGCAAAGCCACTTTTACGAATTCTACCAACTGGACCCGCACATACTGTTCTTAAGAAATTTCGACATCGTACAGTCTACTCAAATGTTGTGAATGATGGAATCGTGCCCCTAAGAACTAGTTGTTTACTTTTCCTCGACTGGCAAAGCCTGGGCCGTGTGGAGAAAGCGAGAAGGGAAAATGGTCTTGTTGGTACCATGGCGGAATGGAGTTGGGCTGAACTAACTGGGGCAAATTCTGGATCACCCGCAAAGAAACAAGCACCTTGGTCAGAGGAGGAAGTCAGTGACATGGATGATATTGGAGGAAGTGCTTCTTCCAACGCATTACAAAGGCTTGAAACAGAAGTACCACAACCCCCAGAAAACGTCATGGATGACGATAAGCGAAGTGTCAAAAATGCAGAGATGCCTGGCCATTCAACTATATCTTCTATAGAAGGTAGAAATAGTAACGAGATCGGAAGTCCAACATCTACATCTTTTACATCCAATAATAGTGGACCACTTGCAAGTCTTTTTGGATTTTTTCGTTCTAACCCTTCCCCGAAATCCCATGCTCATCAACCTAAACACTCGAAAATATATAAAAGAAGTCAAACTATCAAACTCACTAACGATAGCGGCTCGTCGACACCGTCATCTCTACCATCTCCAGCTCCAGAGGGCCATCCAAAAGCTTCGATGGGAGACACTGAAGTTCAAGATCCAGATCATCTATCAGCACCTCCCAAAACGACCTTCTTTGAATCAGCAGGTGATCTTCTCAAGCCACCTCTACCATCTACAGAATTTTTGATTGATCCAGCCTCCCGTGCTCGAACAATTTTTCATGATCGTGTATATCATCCTTCGGACATTCCTCTACCACCTCTCAAAAAGAGATCCACGATGCTTCGGAGACGAAATTCTTCCGTTTCTGAACCTACTCCACCAACACCTGCTTCTCATACCGATAGCCAACTTTCAGCCTTGGATTATGATGATCCCAAGAATACCAATCCCCCGCGTCCTCCAAATACTGTTGTCGACACTTCAGCGATGAAAGTCGAAGAGAAGATTGCTAGAGCTTATCATCGGGATTTAAGTTGGCGAAAGGTTCTCGTCAGCTTGGAACCTGATGCTCATAATAACATGATTGTGAGAAGAATGTTCGCCAATGCATATGGGTGGCCAGTGATCAAACATCTTTGCGACACCCATTTCTCAGACGACGCAATTGCGAGAAGAAAAGATGAAGATAGTGGAGGACGAGAAAGAGCTAAAGGTGTAGGGGAGGCTCCAGGCTCAGAAGGACAAGAAGTTGAGTCTTCGATGGATACAATAAATGCAGAGAAGAAACTTGAGGATCGTGACAGAATCACAAGACATGATCGTACGAATTCGGAAGCTAGAGAAGCAAGAGATTCCGTTCCAGCACTTGCAACCTCTACTTCATCGATGGGGCCACCCCCCGCACCGTCAAGAAGTGCAAGTTGGTCGAGGAATAAACAAGATGGATACGAGAGTACCGGATGGAGTGATAGAGATTGGGTTGATAGTGCAGACGATAGTGAAGAGGACGAGAACAAACCGGCCGCTTCTGGGTGGAACTGGACAGAGAAGATTGTTGGGAAAGGTTCAAATGCATATCGAAGTCAAAGTACCAGTCCTAAGGAAAAAGGAACCGATAAAAAAGAAATTGCAAAGTTTCTAGGGAAAGAACTCCTAGTCGCGAGTCCTGAACCAATTGAAGCAGCAGATAAAGAACTGGGACGAGCTGGAGTGGGCAGTGAAGATTCTACCCTGCCGGTTCTTGATAAAGATCTAGCTGGGATGGGTATAGGCCTAGATGGAACAAGTACAGGAGGATCCGAAGTAATAACTAAAGATGATCTTATGCCGGCAGCAAAGGAGAATTAATGTTCACTGACGAAGAAAAGATGGGAATGAATTTTATTCTAAGAATATGATATAAATGCATAGCCATGGAGTTTTCATGTTGTTAGATAGCACGAATATATATCATTAACATAATAGATACATATACAAACTGAGTTACTGAGGTCTTTTGCCCTTTATTCCACTTGTTACTTGTCATATCGTGAATTCATGATTAAGTTTGTGACACCTCTGTCTCATTAGTTTCTGGTTTGACAAATGAATACATGAGCTTCCGAGCCTTAATTAATGCTCAGCAAAAATTCCAATTTACCTTTAAGTCCTAGTGTACTTCCCAATCTCCAAATGTGTGTACAATAGAATTAGAAGTCTGAATTCAACATCCACAAAACGCTGTTGTCTGTTGATTGGTGAACCTCATCATCGCCCTTCCCTCACATTCCCAAATTTGATTTGCCTCCCCTTTCGTATTCCTCTATCCACCCTCTTGGATTTATCCACCTTCATCCAATTCTCCGATATCTACTCGAAAACCCGAATGTGCATTTCCTATCAGACACAAAAATTGTTACACGTCTACTGAGAGACCTTGGAAAAGAAAGGAGAGGTCTGAACTCCAAGGATAATGCAGCCCATAGTACGACATCTCAATTAAGGACGTATTTTAACACAGAATTCGATTCCACGTTGACTAGAAACTGTGACTAAGATTTGAATTATCCCGTATAAATATTTCAAGCATGAAGGTGCCAGGTAAAAATAAGTCATTTCCATTAATTCTATATACATTAAGCTAAATCCACCCTTGGGCGAAGAAGAAAATTATTCGTAAAAAATGGTATAAATCGTTGATCGTTATATAGTCATTATTGAACTCCATATCGACCAGCCGGGTATTGATCCGAGTTGTTGCTCCATATAAACGAGATAGCCATAGCCATATCTCCCAGCCGCCGTCCCTTTCCACCTGTATCCATACCATTTTATCCAATCAATCATCCGTTCATCCATCCTTTCAAGCATCTCGTACGTCTGTAATCATTGTTTTGCCCAATCCGAGTTTCGTAAGAATCGGTTGGTAGTCAAGCGTAACCCTCTCGTTAATCCTAAGTTATTTATCCGTTTACTGAAACCACTCTTCCTCTAGACGACAAAATCAAATCAAGATACTGGTTCCGCAGGTGGTGCACCAGGAGCAACGTGATTTCTCCAAGCATCTACTCTGTTTCTTCCACTACCAAGCCCAGCAAGTATTGACGACTTAGTCTTCTTCTCCTTTTCTTTTTTTGGCTTTGATGCAGAACTAGAGACTCTGGAAGGCGTAGCAGAAGCTCTCGAAGCTGGCGCAAGGATAGCTGCTTCATCCGCATAATCAGTCCTTGTTCTTCTTGGCACCACAATATCTGACGCTCTTCGTGTGTGACCAGTGCCTCTTGCAGTTTCCCGAGTGGTATGTCTTCTGACTAGACCCGGTGCCGCAGGTGGCTCAGGTACAGGAGCTGGAGCAACTGTTGGGTAACGATCAGCCATTTCGCCAACAGTTGGATTTGCTGCAGCCACCCCTCGTGGTCTTAAAAATCCCGGAAGAAAATTTGTAACTCCCAGACCAAAGTTCATAACCCCACCAGGTTGAGCTAGAACATCGCTAGCTTCGCGTATGTAGTCTTCATTCATGAAATGATTTGCGCCATTGCCAACCCCCTGAACCTCGCCTATTCCACCATTATAGTTTGCATCGCGATCATTCGTTGGCATTCCATCCGTACCCCAGTTCTGAAGCTGTCGAGCTAGCCTTTCATCTTCGCGTTCTTGACGACGTCTTTGATCGAGCTCTTCATTGTAATTGGCGGGTGGTTGTCTTCTCGCTCTGTCTCGAGCATTTCTTGGAGGTGCTGCTGGATTTCTGACAGGAGCCTCTTGAACTGGAACGGGTTGAGGAACTTGCATGTCATCCAACCTATCATTCTCGGCTGTTTCATAATTGAACCATGGGCAATTGCATGTCTTCCATTTCAGCCCACAGATCATACAAAATTGTGCTGTACAGTGACTTTTAAGACAATATACGTTAGTTTCTTGACCATTCTAGCTTGTCACAAATTCTCCACTTACCAAGTCATATGGTTACACCCCTCTTTCAATTCTACCATAGTCCTGCAGCTGTAACAACGTTGCCATCCAGCTTGTTTTGCAGTTTCAAGCAATTTGTTTGTTTCCTCATCTTTAGGGCATTCTTTCGATCCATGCCATTTACCATTACACAATGCGCAGACCTTTGTCTTACACCTCCCGCAGATTCCATATTTTTTCCCGTTCTCTTTGTGAATATTTTCTGGTTTGATCCATTCACCACATTTCTTCGCCGGACAGTATATTCGATTTTTCGTAGTATATTCTTGATATTTCTTATTCCAAAGTTTCTTGAAAGGTACATCGAATAGCTTTTCGACATGTTTCAATGGAATATGTTCTGCTGTACAACATTTTGGTGGCATATGCGCTGGATCCTTAACAGAAAGCCGGAATATTCGTTTGAGACAAGAATGGCACATTCGATGGCCACATCGTAGTTTGGCACATTTAGATTTGGGAATATCATCGGATAGGCAGGTTAGACATTCGACACTGTAATGATTAGAATACCACTTCCGCGCATCGGTTTTATAGAATGACTTACAGCTTTTCCGGTTCGGGGGGAGGAGGAGGTGGTGGTGGTGGTGCGGATGAGAAGAAACTTCCTAGAAAACTACCACGGCGTTGTGATGTTTGTGAAGTGGTTGTATTTGCGACAGATGCTGGTGGCTTTGGCACTGTTGTATTACTCCTCCTCAGTATTGGAGCAGGTTCCGTGGTAATCCGAGTTGTTGCACTCCTACATGCAAATGCAATCAATATTAAACCTCAATGTAAGATGCGCAAAGCGAGAATACATACCTCGAAAGTGGAGGGCGTGACACGGAATCACCGGCAGTGATTTTAGTTCTACGCGATGCACTCTTCGTCCCTGAAGTGCCTACCTCTGCGGAGCCCTTCGTAGGTGACTTGTCTTTATCCTCTTTCTTCACCCTCCTAGTTGAACTTGACCTCTTTGGTTCCTCCGGAACCACAGCCTTGGTTCTCTTCTTCGATTTTGAATCCATAGGTTCTATTGGGGAGGTATCATCATCTTCAGAATCACTACTAGACTTATCCTCTTCATCCCGGCGTCTCCTTTCCGTTTTGGTCGCCTCTCGAGGCTTGTTTTTACTTCCACTTTCCTTCTCCCTCTGCCTCTCCCTTGGGGCAGCATAAACATAATCACCTCCCGATTTTTCCTCCCTCTCACTTGTTTTTGATCGCGAATGATGTCCAGCACCGTCTTCTGAAGTATGATGCCGTCTTCTTCTTCTATGACTCGATGATGATTTTGTCGCATCAGTACTTGGATCGGCGGGCATCTTTTCAGTTGCTGCTGCACTGTTGCGGATCGATCGATTTGTTGAATTCCCCTCGAGTCTTTCTAGACGGATTCTGCGGACTTCAGAAACATCAGGCTCAAGTGATGTAACTCCGCCCTCTCCTTCCTGTCGACCTGATCGTGATTTATGAACTTTGCCATCTTCTAATTCGCCATCTCGAAATTTTGGCCTGCGCCTTACTTTATGAATATCGTTCGAACCCGCCATTCGAACTTTCTAACCCTAATAGCCTCAAAATTAATTGGGCATTTGAGCCTATGGAATTATCTTCACAGTGCAGTGGGTGGATTAAAACGATGGGCGAGACAATTCAACGGTGAACAACTGGTGGCATGGGATAGAGTAATCCTTCTGCGGATGGTCTGATTGATTGGTTACAATTTGATAATTTGCTGACAGGCTTTTTGCATATGCAATACCGAAAATGGGGCTGGAAACTCTTTTGATCGGATAACCGATATCCCTACTACGTGCACGACCCTACTATATGCACACTTTTTTTATATCAAAACAAAAATCAATTTAAAATTTAAAAATCATTATAATAATATAAAATTTAATTCAATAATTAATTAATATTATCAATTTCAATTTATAAGGATTTCGAATTATTAAATTAAGAATTGATTGAATAATTAAATAAAGAGAATATAGAATCTTGATATATAATTTCTTAATAAATAATATATTAGAATCTATTTATAGAATTATAATAAATTTTTATAGATTTTTTGATATTAATAATATTATAAAAAAATCAAAAAAATCAAAAAAGTAAAAAGAATTAAATTTAATATAGATTCTTAGATTTTTCTAATGATTTATAATATTTTTAGAAAAGTTAAAAATATTTTTTTAAATGAATTTAAATTTTATATTTAATATTAAAGATTTAAAAAGTAAGTTTTTAAAAAAGGGATTATATTAAATATTAAAATATATAGAGTTTTGATTAATAAAAGAAAATTATTTAAAAAATATCTTTTATTTTTGAAATTTTATTTTTAAAATTATCTAAATCTTAATTCTATTATATAGATTCTAATTATATAAAAATTCTTTTAAAATAAAATTCTTTAAAAGAATTTTTTTCAATTCAAAATATTATTAATTCATTTTAAAAAAATTATTTTAAATAAAAATTGATTTAATATTAATTAATAATTTAATTTTCGAAATTAAATTTTTTTATTAATCAAAATCTGATCAATTAGTTTCATTCTTAATAATTGATTAAAAACTATATAACAAAAAAGTTTAAGATTGAAATTTCTTAAAAAAATTAATAAATACTTATATTATATTTATTATTAGATTAAATCAAATTCCTAATAAGTTTTTATAAATCTTTATTTAAATTTAATATTAATATTATAGATTTTATATTTTATTTTTTTTTTAAAGCTTTTTGTTTATATAACTTCAAATAGCATAAATTATATTAAATCCTTATTCTTTAATAATTATTTCAAATCTTTTTATAAAATATATTAGCTTATATCTTATTTCCCTTTTCGATAAAAAACTTTAGTTTTTTTTCAATATCTTATATTATAATATATAGAACTTCATACTTTCAGTAAAAAAAACTTATATTTTGAATTCTATTATAAAATATATTAATAAATAAATAATTTTTTTTATAAAAATTAATATCTTATTTATCATTATTATTATTATAATTTTTTGAGATTTTTAATTTTTTTATTTCAAAATATTATATAAGTTTATTTCAATTATCTCAATTTTGAATTTCAAATTTATAATATCGCTTTTTCAATTTTTAATTCAATTTTCTATATAAATAATAAAAGTGTGCACATAGTAGGGTCGTGCACGTAGCAGGGATATCGGTTACGCAAGCAAAAATGGGTATGAATGAGTATGCTCATTGGATTTCGATTCTCGAATGTTTGATCGGCGCAATTAATGAAGTCTGCTAAAGATGGCGAAGATGGCAAAATCAAAAGAAATCTTGCTGGGTATGGACCCTTAATTATACCTATCTATGAAGAAGATCTTTTCGTGGGTACTGTGCCATTTAGTTCCTCGACTCCGTAACTGGGGAGCAGGAGGGGGAATGAGTACGGAGAGTTTGATATAGAGGACATATATTTGTAATGCTTGTACTGCTTATAACTTTGGAGGTAAGGAGGAAAATATCACAGGATTTTGATCGAGTCAATACTTGGTCAAGCAACTGTACTTGCTCGTACCCAGTATTGATAATAAGTTAGACTTCATTTTGACGGTGTTTCTGTTATCGTTGTTATCGTCGATAGTCGCAAAGCTAGCACGCTCGCTCGCTCGCACATTAGATAAGATGAAAATGGCACGGCCCTCAAGGGAAAACTCTTTTTCTTTTGTAAGTCTTACTTTGTATGATGGATTACAAAACTTCAATAAAATGTACCCTCATAACCCTGCTAAACCATTCATTTTGTTTTGCTTGCTATATGTTCAATAAGTCTAATGACAACAAACACCCTCCTTTCTATAATGATTGCAAGTATCAATCATCACCAAAGCAGAGAATAAGAAGAAGGGATTGAGACAAATATCGCGGACATAAAATCATTGGCTTGCCATTCGCCAAGGGTCTCTAGATTGTATCTACTGCATTACATGTTGTCACCTCTCTACTCTCCACCAAGCACCATACCATTCAAGCTACAATGAAAGCATTCGGGTCTCTCACACGCAAGTGCTTGTGCTGATGATTTACTGTCAATCCTGTTTAGCAATCGTGCTGCATTTCTCTATCAATACGCGTATTCATGAAGAGCCCTACAAATTTTAAATGTCGGTAGAGATCCTCTTTGGAATCTCAATTTTATGTTTAGCCATCAACAATAACGTGTACATTATGAGCTATGCCAAAATGTTCACCCAGAGGCGGGTTGTCTTTCATTTCGAACAGGGCCATGCAATGTAGTGCTGGCCTCATTCAAATGTCTCCTACGTGGATATGCAGAATATCAAAAAAGGGGCGAGGCCAGATCGAGTTGCGAAACGGTTGGATTGCAACGTCTACCGAATTTAGACGACATATTGAGAGAAAAATTTCATGCACTGCTTTTAATAAAGAGGCTCGATAGAATGACAGATTATCAAGTCTTATAACTTGTCACTCTGTTGTGCTCCAAGCAGGGCTATAGATTTCCATCATTTGTTCGCCCTCGTACCACTACCAATCGTCATTGTTACTCTAGGCCATCTTGCCTCTCTGAATTTCCCATCTCCGCCCCTGCTTTATCAAGGTACAAGGTCCTCCATGGGCACATCATTCATCAAAGTAAGAATTTATATTCAGGATCAAAAAGGATCGTGATTCAACGCCAGTAAATGTGGTAACTACTGGGAAAGGGAGAATCTGCTTGTTTGCTGATTTAAGATGTTTATAAAACGTCTATATGGTCGAAATACTTTTTTTTGGCTGGTGGTAATAGCATTGTGTGCAAACGCGACCACTCAATTTGAAAAAGTCATGGTATCCTGGCCGATGTCAGAAGGATACTCATATGGTCAGCCCTGGTCATCATCATCTATATTTCAACTCAATTAGAAATGAGAAAATCTGTTCGCAAGGATATGTGTACTTTATCCAATACCTAGAATAATTATTTGGGTTCTCTGAATTGTTTTCTCTATACACTTTCTTGGAAAGCATTAAGTAGCACGGTACATTGATATCTGCCTAAGGCAGACAAAAGTTTGACACAGTCTTGAGGAAATGTGCATCCCACTCTCAGCAAATTCTACATCCATGATATACCTGATCATACATGCATCTTGCTTTATTAGAGCCTGCAGACTCCACTTCTCCACGAACCTTCAATCACCCACAGGCTATCCGCATATCCGATCACATGTATTTTACAACACAAGTCTTATAAATATTCAATAATTGTGCTCACGAGTCAACTCTTTTTTATCTTCCTCAATACTTTCATCATGGGAGACGACAAATATAATAGAAATGCCTTAGTCAATCGGACATTACCTCAGATGCAGCTAGCCAACGGTTTGAGCAACTCAGCACCTCCCTCAACTGATTCTGAAAAGAGTTCATCAGGGTTGAATCCTGCTATCAATAGATTTGCGGTTAAGGGAAATGCGATCTGTATTACACCCCTCCCAATTATCATTGACAACACTTATATAAAGATCCAATTTAGTCACAGGAGGAGCAGGCACTCTAGCTTTACAAGGAGCTCGTGCCCTTCTCGAACACGGTCTTAGTGGATTAGCTTTATATGATATCAATCCAAAAGACGATCATCCGGGCATATCCGCCTTGAGGGCAGATTTTCCTAGTGCCAAAATCCTATTGAAAAAAGTTGATGTCACAAATGTGGAAATTTTGAATCAAGCTATCGATGAGACAGCATCGACTCTCGGAAGTATTGATATATTGTGTTGCTACGCAGGTGTTGTGGGATGTGTGCATGCGCTCGATATCACTGTCGACGAGTGGAGACGCACTTTGGAGATCAATACGACTGGGGCATTTCTATGTGCACAAGCTGTTGCCAAGTATGTTTCTGTATTGAATTTAGGGCGGTAATACTAATTTTGTATTTAGAAGAATGGTTGATCAAAAAACTGGTGGTTCCATAGTGTTCATCGCATGTTTGTCTCCACAATTTCTGAATGGCCAATTAATGATTGAGTGTACACTAACAACAGTTTCTAGCGATATCTGGGCATACTGTTAATTATCCTCAACCTCAAATCGCTTACAATGTCTCCAAGTCTTCTTTGCTTCACATGAAATCATGTCTTGCAGCTGAGTGGTCTCGGTATGGCATCCGTACGAATACCATTTCTCCGGGTTACATGGATACTATTCTCAATGAAGGTGATGGATTAGAAGAGGCAAGAAATATATGGACTTCGAGAAATCCAATGGGTAGGATGGGAAACCCAGAGGAATTGAGTGGAGCTTTGATACTATTGTGTAGTGGAGCGGGAAGTTATATTACTGGAGCTGATCTGATTGTCGATGGTGAGTTTGATGGTCATGATAGCACAACTGTGGAACGTATACTGATCGATTAATAGGAGGTCAAACTATCTTTTGATCAATAGAAAGGATGCTGCAAGGATACACTGAGATGGAAGTGTAGCAGCATGGCCTTCACCAACTATGTCATTGAGAATTCTATCAGATTATAGGATACCATGTTATCATCTTATATCCTCCGAGAACTAAATTGTTCGATGTAGGTTATTTCCTGAAGTAAAGTCGATGCCCTGCGCGATCTCCCTCTTCGAGCGTGTTTCTAGTTTCAAAATTGCAACTTGAGGTTGATCCAGCAGTCTTTTTGTTTCCTTGATATTTGGATTTATGTTGAAATTGAATTGATATTACCTTATGAAGATGTGTTTGGGATCCCTTGGCAAATGGATTCCGGAAGAATTGCTCTGGGTTTCAATGTCGATAGGAGCATTGAAGATTAGGTTGAGGTGTGTGGGAACCTGGAATATTCGGCCATCCATTCCTGATTCAATTATTATGGTGTAAGATGCCTAAAAATGAATGAAAAAGGAAGACAGTGCTTCACTCAAGTTATTTGATATATAATCATTGATTAGGGTTAGTAATGAAACTGCGAAGACCGTTGTCCTGGTGTGGACAGAAAGAATGTTCTATGACGACAACATTTCTTTTCCCGCCCAAGAAAACTGGCATAAACCACACCGTGGCATCATATAAAAGGGAATCATTTTGGTATTTCCTATCTTGGCAAGGATGAAGCTTCGTTTCCAAATTTTCTAGTCTTTGGGTCGTCACCATCATGCGATGGCCCAATATCTCTTCCATCCCCGTTAAAATCATTGATCTTCATCAATCTGTGGACTCGATTGACGCACCAATACCTTCTCCCTGGGAAACACACGGGAGTCGAAAGTAGTCTCCATCCACCGACAAAATTTGTGGTTGCCATCATTCGCGAAGAATTGTACGTTCTTGGGAATCATCATGGGATGTTCTTGGTATTGGAAGAGACTCTATCGTAAACCTGGAATCGATAGAATGAGGTGATTTAAGTTTTTTTTTGACCTTGGAAAATTGGCAGATACATAAAATGTACACGGCGATCATGAAAATCTTGCCGTAGTCTCCTCCCTTCGAAGCTTTTCAGATTTCGAGCGCAAAATCGAAAGACGAATGGCAAAGCGAAAACCCGAAACAGAGAAGACAACCCGAGGACAATCCATAAGGATACGCGAAGGGAACAATATTGAATTGTTCGGTCTACGAGATTCATGAAGGAAGCAGCCTACAGAAAGACTTCTGTAAATATTTGAGGTCTTCTTGAGTCTGCCCTTTTCCCCTTGACACTATCAGTCAAGCACTAGCAGACAAATTTCTGAGACGACGACTAAATCCAAGTAAGCCGGTATATTGAATATCACACTATTCTTCGGCACTTATTCCATGTTGGCCACCTTCTCCATCACCAGTATGAGCCTCGAGGTCAGAGCCTACTGTATATATATCTATTGACCTGTCAGTTTCACCACGAAGCTATAAGCCGCGAGACGAAAGTCATTCGCAGATGCGTAAACAGCTCAATCAAAAATCAACAGCTGTATTATATTATGAAACGTACACCATGATTGTTTGATGGCCCTCGTTATAAGTTGTCTGAAGTTCTGCTTACTGCTTACATAATGCGGGGTAATGCTTGCTAACTTAACACCTGCTCTTCGTTTTCAACAATACATGCGAAATAATTCAGGATACACATACTGAGCTTAACAAATTGAGCAACTGAGTTGAATATGGAGAGCAATCATGACGCGAAAAAGGAACTTTCAGAGAGTTTGAGGTCGATTTTACAAGCGGCGTCAATGTCGGTGTTCCAGGTGTCTCCGCTGCGATCGCCACGTCTAAAGGGACTATATGGCAGGATTTTGCTGGTTTTGCGGTCTTGGAAAAGAATATACGAATCGATGACTCGACTTTATTTGGGATCGGAAGTATCACCAAAGTATTCGTGGCGGTTGTCATCCTTCAACTCATCGAAGAAAGTCAACTCAATGTGTCGGACAAGATCAGTGATCATTTAGACCAGGCCGATTTAGCTGGCATGGGTAATGCTAATAATGCAACAATTGGCGGTTTACTAAGTCATACTGCTGGTATCAAAAGTTGGGAAGATGATTTGGACTGGATCACTGAAGCGAGAGGCAAAAAATTGGACTCGAAAGCAATTTGGGGCAAGAAAGATACTTTAAAGTATATTAGACGGCCATCCAGGCTTGAAACTGGTCGTTTCTCTTATTCCAACACAAATTACACTCTTTTGGGTTTGATCGTCGAGAAAATCACCGGTCACTCAGCCGAAAGCGAAATCCGTCGGAGGATACTCGATCCTCTGAATTTGATAAACACATTTCTGGAAGGGTTCGAAGACGGGGAATCACGGAAAGAGAATGTACCACATCGATATCACTTTGCTATAGATATGTTTCGCAAAACTGCAGGAGTCTGTCCAAGTTTCTCCGAGCATAAGTGGAAGGATGTAGATCTTGTTAATGCAAGTGAGTCAAATCTATCAGGAGAATGAGTCGCCGGTGGGATGATCTCCTCAACCCGTGACCTTCTCAAATTTGCGATCTCTCTCCGGGATGGAAAGTTGCTTAGTCCCTCATCTATGGATCTTCTCACAGCATGGCAACCGGCCTCATAATCAATGGAAATTGGCCATGGAATCTTTAGATCCGGAAATCCTCGTACACAAGAGAATTGGCTTGGACACAATGGAAGCGTACTTGGATTTACAGGATCTCTTTGGTGGAAGGATGAAATTGATTGTGTTGTATGTGTCCTTGCAAATGTGGGAACTATGCATGCTGGAAAAGTTTCATCGAGTGCGCCACAAATTGCCTTCGAATCGAAGTTCCTGGAAGTAGCTGTTAAGTTGACTAACATTGCTGTGAAAGATGAATGATCATCAACTTAGGGAGAAGTACTAGCTCTAAAAATGTTGCGAAAGTCTTGAAATTTTCTGTCTGCTCCTAGAATTTAAAGTAAGTCAAGAACATTAACTCCGAAGCCCCTTCATGAATCACCCCAGGAGAGAAGCAGACTCATGCTAGAGCTTTTTGTGAAAACGCATATTGGTAAAGGTAGGGATCAAAATTTTAAGTTCACTATTTATGAGGACGTCTCGCTTGTCTTCATAGTGAAATGCAATCTCAATAATCAACGAAATCGATCCACTTCTTTCTCTCATCTCAAATTCCATATTTTCTATGAAGAATAGTGTGACTGTCAAAGTGACAGTATACGCAGGAATAAAAGTGGAAAGTGGAAGTTGTTACTTGGAAAGGTAGACAACCACCATGGAGTTGCACTCGACGATTTATACATATGAAGAATGAGCTTCAGCCGTGGAGCAATTTTTTATTCTACATGGCGAAGATCGAAAACCGCAAACGTCTTTAAAGAAATGGTTGGTTGTGGGTAATACAACTAAATTAGTATCAGGCATTTACCGTTGGTTTTAACGAATAAAATTGTATCTCCCAGATCTCGGCTCTCCAAGTGGAGCGGAAAGCAAGATCAAGGCAATCTGTCCACGTTATGGATTTCTACCTGCTCCACGATAAATCTTTCATCGAAGTATGTCAGTGTTGGGTTACAGCCGTAGAGCCGAGGTAGGCGGGATTGCCTGGCACACTAATATCCCCCGCCCCCCACTATCCCCGAAAATTATTGTTCTCCGGAGTAACATTCGTACCCACACGAGCCACACAAGACACGACTTACATTCCGAGCGCTTTCCAAGATTTTAGGTGGAGCGGAGCTAACACGTTGCAGAATCTAGACATGTTATCTTGATGAGCAAGGCGAGCACTTGTCGAATCAGCTACAATTCGTGGATCTTGTTATCTATTGATATAAACTTTGTTCAGGTAAGTACTAGGTACCACCTGCCTTGCTCGTTATTCATTCCACCATGAATATCTCTCGTACGCCTCGCATCGTACATCAATTTTATTGACGTACCCTCACATTCTATACTGTTATCTAAGACTTGGTCGAGCAAGAACTCATTATTATCCTTGCCTGATGTGATGTGAACCTTTTGCTCAATCGTTGAAAAAAGCTTTACACCTCCCCGTTAGAAATGGCTTAGAAAAAGCTTAGTTCCGAAGTTCTTGGAAATCTGTGCACTGCAACTGTTCAATTGCGAGCTCTATTTTACGGTAAGTTCGGATTCCGAAGCTTACAGATCATAGCTTATCTCGAATTCTCTCCATGCTCCGGCCATGACTTTAGTTTAATGGGTCATCTGAATATTCTCCCGCTTGCGTGCCCGGTACATTGATTGAAGATCCATAAAAGAATCGTCAGGTGGAACCATTTTATACATACTTTTTCCATGTTTCCAGTCGACGGCAAACCATTTTGATCGTCGGTTACTTCTCCGCACGAGGCAAACCCTTTCCGTGTTGAAGGAGAAGTGACGTTGTCCACGTATGTCCATACGCGCGTTTTAAAAATTCCCTGTTGAAGTCTCAATTTCTGTGCCTCGAATTGCCAACCATTTATTTGAGTATCATGTGTACACTAGGTTGTATGTTGCTTGTAAGTCGCAAGAATGGAACGGAATAATGACTGTGCCTCAGGCACAGTACCTGAGCAAAGTTGATTTACAATGGTGGAGCCCGGGGTGGAGCGCGGGGGAAGTTTTACACAAGAAGCTAGCGTAGTTGGGGAAACCCAGTTTGACTGCACGGGGTGCGGGGGGCAAGTTCCTAAAGAGAATAGTTTCCTTCCAAAGCTAACCAATTTCAATTCGTGCGCATAAAATTTCATATAAACTTCATTGTCTCTCATTGGTTCCGGCATGCATTACGGTTGAAGCATCATGTAGATAAATAAAGAAGCTACTGGGGGCGGGGCGGACCCAGGCGGTAGAGCTGTCTCATGCAGAAACCATTTTACCACCAATGAACGTCTTTCCGGATATGCAAAGATCAACAGGATATAATGTCCCGATTCCCCCAATGTACCCAGATATCTTTCCATATTCTGTATGATACCGAGCAATTAATTTTGCCAATCGACATTGTTCATACGTGATAGGAAAGCTCTACCGTGCTCTTTCCGCGTCTGAATTGAGGCTGCCGAGCTTCCGAGCCTCTGTTCATCTGTTGAGCTTTGGGAAAATACTTTGCAAAGACAAAACAACATTGCAAGAACCACATTCAGAATGGCGACGACCGGAGCCGATGTGCATGGGGAGAAGGGCGACGTTGAAAGCTTGAAGGCACATAACCTGGAACACGCCGAAGTCCTAGTCGATAAGGATCTTATGAACGATGCCTTCGAAGGAGAAAACCGAGAGCATGAGATGGGTATGTGGGAGGCTGCGAAACAACATCCCATGGCTTGCTTTTGGGCATTCACCTTTTGTTTCACCATTGTGAGTCCTCAACTGTTATGCCAATGTCTCGCAGCATCTCTTCTAATACAACTTAGGTAATGGAATCGTTCGATATGTTCTTGAATGGCAATTTTGTTGCACTAGCTTTTTTCCAGAAAACTTACGGTATCCAACAACCTGATGGATCATATGCTGTCCCAACAAAATGGCAAAGTGCACTCTTTCAGGCAGGTCAATGCGGTGCCTTCGTTGGTGTCTTTTTGGCTGGCCCTGTTACCAATCGGCTTGGCTACCGTTGGACTACAATTCTTGGCTTGATCATGATGAATGCCACGATTTTTATCTCCTTCTTCGTAAGTCGCATGCTTGTTTTCTCAATGTTTGCAGCAATGGGCTAATAACGAATACAATTTAGGCCGACTCTCTTGCTGTACTTACAATCGGTCAAGCTTTCGAAGGTGTCCCTTGGGGATTTTTTATCGCAAACGCTCCAGCATATGCAAGTGAAGTCGTCCCTCTTTCACTTCGAGGTGCATGTACTGCTACCCTGCAAATGTCTTGGTCCATTGGCAGCATCATCGTCGCCGCCGCCACTTATGGTTACAACAAAAAGGATAGCACATGGGCCTGGAGGGCACCTCTTGCGTTGCAATGGCTTTTCCCCGTAAGTTCTCTGTTCGAGATTCTGAAGATACAAAAGCTCATTTTTCCAGACTCCACTCTTGATTCTTATCTTTTTCGCCCCAGAGTCACCTTGGTGGCTGATACGACGAGGTCGCAAGGAAGAAGCTCTTCGATCCATTACGCGTCTTGGTAATAAATCCGAAGGGTATGCTGAAGGTCAAATTGCCATGATGGAGCGCACCGTTGAGATGGAAAAGAAAATAGGAGGCGACCCAACTCTTCTTGACCTCTTCAGAGGTACTGATTTGAGACGAACGATCATCACTTGCTTGATCTACGCATCACAGAACTTTGCCGGAAATCTTATTGCCAATCAAGCTACCTTTTTCTTCGAGCGTAAGTGGATAATCTTCTCTCTGGGATATGTGATCATGGTTAGCTAATTCTATTGATGTGTTCAGAAGCTGGAATCTCCACGGACTTCTCTTTCAAGCTTAATTTGATCAACTCATGCCTTCAATTGGTTGCCAATGTCTTTTCCTGGCCTCTTACTGCCAGATTCGGTCGTCGAACAATTTATCTTTGGGGTACAGCCACTAACGTCACTTTGCTCTTCCTTCTCGGTATCTGCGCCTCTATTCCACAGAATAACCAGACCAATTACGCTCAAGCATGTTTGGGAATAATTATTTCATTCGTCTTCGCTGGAAGTCTGGGTCCAATTTCATACAGCATTATTGCTGAAACATCCTCTGTCCGTCTTCGTGCCTTGAGCACTGGTGTTGGTCGTGCTGCATACTATGTTGCAGAAATTCCTATGATATATCTTGCCTCACAAATGCTCAACTCAACCGGATGGAATCTTGCAGGAAAGTGCGGTTTTGTATGGGGAAGCACCGCTGTTGTCTGTTGGGTCATGGCTTACTTCTTCCTCCCTGAGCTCAAAAATCGCTCTTACCGTGAAACCGACATTCTTTTCAACCGAAAGATTTCTGCAAGGAAATTCGAGTCGACTATCATTGATGTCAAGGATAACGATTAAGCTGATGTTTGTATAAGGTTAAATAATTAATATACCTTATAATTAGAAATGGGTGGGAATGGTAATTTGTGGCCTGCTCCCAAGTAAGTAGTCAAGTACTGTATTATAGACTATAGAAATTAGATAGAATATAGAAACACAATATAGAGCATATATTAATCTTAATCGAAAAGTTCTAGAATTATATCAATTTGAGCAAACTTCATTTTCTTTGCTCCAGATTCTTCCTAGAGCTCCGAATATTAGAACTCCACTACTTCACTGCGCATAAGCGTAAGCTTATCCTGATTAGTACCGGGATACACTTTCCTGTACTTAGTTGTCAGGTCATTTCGAGCATGCAAATTAATCTAATGTTTGAAGATCTTATGAATTTCTACCCTATCTATGTATAGGAGAAGTCTCTATCTCATATTTTCGCTAAAGCGGAAGTCTACTTTGCATGAAAACATCCTGCATTGCGCTCGCCGCTCAGTAATGTCCTCGTTATCAAGACCTTCACTCTCAAGCTTCGTTAAAAACCGACGAAATCTTCGCAATCTACATGTAGTGAGGCTTACTCAGTAGTGAAAGTACACCAGTAAACATCCTGGCAGTTCTCACCAAACGATCCCTTCAACCTGAGAGTTAGTATTGTGAAACGATAAGCATGGTGCACTATGACTCGAAACAAAGTCTACTTTATCTCTCAGCACTAATGCAAGGCATTTTAGTGAGTACGTAAAATATTACCGACATTTTCAGCCCTGTCGATTAATTACGTAGAGCCTCCTTATGTTTTATAGTATTACAGTAAGGGGTATTCCTGTAGAACTCACGACTAGCAATTGATATCCATCAATCAAGACGTTAAAGAGTGACCAAGGAGAGGTAAATGACTATGGCCACA